ACTTGAGTTGCTCATACAGCGATACCCACAATCAATTGGACAGGCGGGAAGCTTTTGATTCTGTGCAAACACGAAGAGTAGTCGGTCATTGTAGCGCACATGACTGACTCATTACGGGGCCACCAGCCAATCGTCGGGTGCTCATCTTCATTCGAGCGAGCTTGGCCCCAGTTGATCGACCGATGCAAGTAACTTAAGTTGACGGGAAAATACCTACCTACCTGTAGGGGATGAAGCAGTGCTGTGCCACCCATCGCCCACAGGCCCGTTGACCTCTGGCGAGACGATTCACTGCTCTTCACGCGTGCGTAGAGCCAGCCGAGTGCTGTGACTGCTTGCTTGGTGAGGCGTCGACGGAGGTCAGCTTGTCGGCCCGTGTTTAGGTGCAAGGTAGCACTGAAGTAGCACTGCATGTACTTGGCGCTGGCAAACGGTAGGGGCGGTACTTGGCTGCCCGCCCTGGACCCAAACCAGCCTAACGCACCCATTGGCAACTTAGAAAGAAAGTGCTGCCCACTGATAGCCACCACCCCCAAACACAAACTCTCCGTCACATTATCCACTCTTTTTCCACATCCCGCTACAACAACAACCCAGCCAGCATCGTCGCGCGCTAATCGCCGCCGGCCGACCCAACCCCCAAGACAAGGTCGACGGCTCTCCCATCAAAGGATACTTTCCACGACGGCGCTGGTCGCGACATTGATTCACTTTGACCTTTTGCTGGCCTGGGACAGAGAGCGCGGGCTCTTCCCTAGCGCCCTCCCCTCGGAAACAGCCGATTGTTCTCCATCCTCTCCAAAACGCCCACCCTATGCGTATGCGTGTCAGGCTTGCCATCCGGTCGCGAACAAAGCAACAACGTTCATGAATCCCCCTCTTCGAATCCAATCAACCGGTCATTCGCTACAACCATCTCCATTCTCTTCACACCCCCCTTTGGCCCGCCTCATCTCTCTCTCGTGTGCTCCTTGGCTCTAGTTCGCGCCGTCGTCCTTCTCCACGCGGTACGCTCACCCATCGGCCCACGACGTGCTTTCTCACCCACGACTTCGCTGCGGCGCATTTTATCGCCCTATACAAACCCCGAGGTGCTCTTCGAAGCTCCATACGGCATGCGCATGGTCACCAGCAACTATGGAAGCTGCGGCGGAGAAGGTCAGGCAGCTGACCCGATCCATCTTGCCTGAACTACCACACCAGTTGGCCAAATCTCCAGATTGGAAGTGCCGCCACACACCCGACGACAAGAAACGCATTGAGGAACAATACAATTCCAGGCTCCAATACATGACCATGGTGAATGAAGGCGACCGCGGTGTGCTCTTCACCAGAGGCTACTACGATATTAGACCCGAACCCCCCACGACGAAGCCTGTGCCGAGAGAGGTCGATGTCCTTGCACGAGGTGGCGCGAAAAAGTTGTCGCTAAGCGATTATGCTAAGAAGAAGTCGGGAGCAGCAGCATCGGCCTCGTCGTCTGACCCCCCGACGCCATCAAGTCAGAAGAAGTCTTCCGATAAGCCACTATCTACAACAGAACCTAGAAATCTCGATGAGCCCAAGAGCTCGAGGGACCCCAAACGGTCTGATATATCTAGACCCATGAATTCGGAATCACACAGTTCAGCAAGATCATCCAAAACTGCGACGAACGAAGTGGTCGTCGTCGACACAAGGTAGGTTATACGTGTATTAGGAGAGACTCTTTGCGCAATGCTGATCTATTCTAGCCTTCCGCCTAGGCCTTCATCTTTACCTGCTCGGCCACCTGATCCGGATAGACGAAAACGCCCTGCCGAGACTGATGACGGTGCCCGGCCTCTCAAGAGGCAGCGCCCATCTGATGCCAGCAGAGCACCGGAAGAACCATCACGAGAAGACCCCCTGCGACGCAAGGCCCAAGATTATTCTTCATCGCGTAATCATACACCTGTTAAGGACAGTAGACTATCCAGTTCCAACTCGCTTCTCAACGGCCGTGGCACTGTAAAAGTGGCAACATCACAACCTCGCAATACATCATCACCGCCTCCCCGATCGCGTGGAAACTCGATGAATGGTGTTCGTCCTCCTACGACAGGGGCTAACCGAACATCATCTAGCAAATTCGATGGAGGATTAAAAACTTATGTCCCGCCCTTACTTTCACCGCTGCATCTCGATATAAACGATGGCGCGGAAGACGCAGGAAGAGGAACTCAGAAGAAGCGCGCGAGCGGTGTAGAATCTGTGAAGGTCCCCAAGTCTAGGAATATCGATGTTCACATCGGCTCTAGACCACCCAGGTCTCCAGTAAAAATCCCGCCGCTGCTTTCTCCAACTTTACCACCTGAGGTCGAGGCCGAACTAGAACGAAGAAAAAAGTTGTCACCCCGGCCCTCCGAGAGCCGATCAAGAGAAGAGCCAGAGATTGAAAAGAGAATCCGGGTGGATCCTGATGACGAGGGGAGAGGTCGCAGGACGCACATGGTCACTCTCAGAGTGCCCAGAACGCTCCGAACTAGGTTTGCAGGGCTGATGAGGCTCCCTCCATCTCGGAAAGAACCTCGCTTGCTGGGCCCAACAAGTGGTAGCCACGGTGAGAAGCGGCCAGTGGGTTTGACTGAGGTACCCGTCGAGTCTATCGCTATGAAGAAACCACGAGCATCAGACATGCCCAACACGTCGAAACCGTCTATTCCCCCGTCTACACCGTCTTATCGGAAAGGTGGAGCTACAAACATGTCTCGTGTTAGCTCGAGCAACTCACTTGTTAATACACCTGGCGACGCGATTACCGGGACACCTTCAGTTCCTGGTTCTTCCGAGCGAACTACTAACGGCCCAGAACCGCTATCCAAATCAATGATGTCCAAGATCGCATTATTAAGAGACAAAGAGGTATTCCTCCGTTCTCTAGGGAAGAGACTCAAGCACAACGGAGATCTTGCTCTTAATGGACGCCAGGATACGCAAGCCGCAGTCACTAATGGGAATACACGAGCGGGAGAGCCTAATACTAAGGTTGGATATGTTCTTCATCTGGAAGGCACACTTGCCTTCATGATGAGCTTCTATGTCCAAGACCTTCACCGGTCCCTGGCTAGCAAGGCAGCTGACCCCGGCAGCTGGGGAAGTCTACTTCCCTTGCTTGATTTCTTACGGAGGAAAGAGGGCAGGGCGTTGCGGCCGCTGCACGCCGTGACTATGCTGCTCCAGGTTATCGCGTATGATGAGATGACGAAGGCCTATACGACGCAGGACAACCCTAAGGATGTGACTTTGCAGGAATTGCTTAAGCATAGGCGGAATCGTGAGAAGATTATCCCCCAGCTACGCGAGTATAATGCGTCCATCGACAGCTCTTTCCGCGCCAATATCACGCTTCTGACCACCCTCGAAGATATCGCCGAAGTTGTCCTGGGTATCCTTCGCCGCTGGTGTGCTGACGAGGGAATCGATTACAATGCGCAACTCAATCTTCGTGACGTGGGAGTAAAGAACATCATGGCTCGGGCGCACCACTGATGGGATATACCGTTTTGGGGCAATGTCCTCTTTCGCTGTGTCTTTGATTGACATTACGTGCATTCAACTGGCTACAAGTCTCCTCACACCCGGCCGTATTGTTCGGCAGAAGCCTAAACCAATGGCGAGGTTGCTTCGTGCCACGTTAGATTTGATACGTTGATTTTCGTGGGGCTATAATTGTCTTTCCTGTGATTCCTTGTCACCTAATCTCATGGCTCTTTTATTTAATCAACGAAAACGCCTCGTCCTACAGGCTAAAGATAACGACGACGTTGAGCGTCTCACCAGACAAAAAGCGCACACCACACATATACATACACTTATACTCTCCTGAGAAGATCTGCATCTGCAGGACATGGTTTACTTTTGGTATCGGGACGGCAAGGCGAATCTTATGGCATGCGATGATGGTTTCATTGCTTGCGCTGCTGTTTTTCTTTTTAATCGACGTCGGCTTGCGCCATGGATGCTTTTTTTTGCTTCTTCTTCTCAGCTTTCTCGAGAGGAATTTGGGGGAACGGAGACGGGGGCAGGCCGGCGAAGGGAGCGAATAGCAGGAGGGAAGGGGTAAGGAAAGAGAGAGTTGAGAGGAAAAGGACACCATGCCCCCCCCGCGTTGTTGATTTATTGCGGCTCTTTTTGTTTTGATCGTTTGGCACTTGGTCGTGTGTATGTACGGCTCAAATGTGCTCTCTCATGTATTATGATATCCCCCCAAGATGACGGAAGTCCGCACCGGACTTCCCTGCGTACGTCATAGCCGAGTCTATGGAAAGAATTACTCTTGCTTATCTCATGTCCCTCATTACGCTGGTGAATTACGATCTGGTGACTGCATACCTACCTACCTTTCTTTGTTGTCTTGAATTGCCTAATGGGGTTCGCCGAGAGTTCCCCGCCGCGCCGAGGGGGGTCGGCCACAACCACCCCCGTGGATGAATTTTCACAATACTGTGACTAAGATATCAACGGTGTGTTAGAGATAATTACATCAGATTACGCCAGCTTGAGCGCCTTTTGCTAGAGCAAGGTATGCTTAAATGTCTCATTTCAAAGCAGGTTGGATTTCAAAGCAAGTTCGTATCTCGGTGACACACAGGAAGGACGGCACGCCAGGACTAGCGATATCATGGACTGTAGTCATTATTGCTAATTTGAGAAGTCCACAGGTACAACAATTGACACGGGCTGATTTGGGTTCGCTCTACAGGTTGTTCTGCTACCTGGCTATCTGACCGCATGTTGGTGCTCTTGGTGTCAAACCTAGCCGAGCCCGCACGACCAGACTAATTTATGGGAAATGGCCATCTACAGTTGGCAACCTTGAAAGGTCAAAGACCATTTATACACAACATAGAATGCCATTTTCACGTAGTAAACTATCACATCATGGGTCTTGATCATTGTACCCTAATTTTTTTATATTATTATTCTTTGAGCAGTTTCATGACTTTTGTAGGTAGCCGATCAACACCAGGTTTGGTAATTTACTGGTTGTCGACCTTGGAGATGTAGGAAATGAGGTCAAGAACACGACGGGAGTAGCCCCACTCGTTGTCATACCAGCTGACAAGCTTGAGGAAGTTCTCGTTGAGGGCGATACCGGCCTTAGCATCGAAGATGGAGGAGTGGGTGTTGCCGTTCAAGTCGGTGGAGACGAGGTCATCCTCGGAGTAGTCGAGGATGCCTAGAGGATATTTGTTAGTCACTGTTATCTAAGACGGATGTAGCGGAATCAACTTACCCTTGAGAGGGCCAGCAGCGGCATCCTTGATGGTCTGCTTGATGGCGTCGTAAGAAGCAGCCTTCTCAATGCGGACAGTCAAGTCAACAACGGAGACGTTGGCGGTGGGCACACGCATGGACATGCCGGTGAGCTTGCCGTTGAGGTCGGGGATGACCTTGCCGACGGCCTTGGCGGCACCAGTGCTGCTGGGGATGATGTTGGTAGCAGCGGTACGGCCACCTCGCCAGTCCTTAGCGGAAGGACCATCGACGGTCTTCTGGGTGGCAGTGTAAGAGTGAACAGTGGTCATGAGACCCTCGACGATGGTGTAGTTGTCGTGGATGACCTTGGCGAGAGGAGCCAAGCAGTTGGTGGTGCAAGAAGCGTTGGAGATAACGTCGGCCTTGCCGTCGTAGGTCTCGTTGTTGACACCCATCACGTACATGGGGGCATCGGCAGAGGGGGCCGAGATGATGACCTTCTTGGCACCACCAGCCAAGTGAGCCTTGGCCTTCTCGGTGGTGGTGAAGACACCAGTGGACTCAACAACATAGGTGGCACCAGTGTCCTTCCAGGGGATGGCAGCGGGGTCGCGCTCGCCGTAGAACTTGATGGTCTTGCCGTTGACAACGAGATCGTTGCCAGAGACCTCAATGTCGCCCTTGAAGACACCGTGGGAGGAGTCATACTTGAGCATGTAGGCCTAGAAATTGGGACTTCAATTAGCCATCTTGTCCAGGACGGAAGGTTCGGAAGCTCCCTATCACATCCAGGAGCTGGTTGTAATTAGGGTTGGTTGGTTGGTGGGGGAGGGGTAGGGGGATTCCAGTGGTTTGCATGCAGCCACAGTAACGCGTGCGTGGGGTGACCTCATGGAGGGGCAAAGCTTGGAAGAGCTCATAGAGGGGCAAACACGGTCGCCCCTCACCCCTCCCAGTCACGACCAGCAGCCAGTAGCTCCCAACCCCCGATCGTGTTGCAAGTATAATGTTCGAAATAGCTTGGATAGCTTGGGCGTTACTCACAGCGTACTTGGCCTCAATGAAGGGATCGTTGACGGCAACAACCTCGATGTCGGGGTGCTCGACAGAGTTGCGGAAGACAATGCGACCGATGCGGCCGAAACCGTTGATACCGACCTTGACAGCCATGTTGAGAGTATCTATTTCGAGTTTGTCGAGTTAGAAAAGAGGATTTTGCTTTCAATTGGAAGAAGACGAGTGACAATGATGGAAATGAGAGGAGGTGTGGGAGAGGGGAGTGAGAAATATATATATGTTTGAGAAAAAATTGCTGGCGGGGTTGGCAAAAAATTGATGAGGAGATGCTAGCTCCCAATGACAGGAGCTGGATAGTGTTATGATTTGCTCTGGTGGTTTGTCATATCGAGCTGTCCTGCGAGATACGCCGCGTGCGGTGTGGCCAAGGCAGAAGGAGGGGGAGGGGCAATTCCAAGGGTTGGTCGATCTCTTTTCAGTTTAGATTCTTCACATACCTGAGTGATGTAGGGTAATGGGTTTGGTTGGGGGGATGGTAAGTCGAGAGGACTGTGGATGAAGAAGAAGAAGAAGAAAAGAAAGGGAAGAGGAGGGGGAGGTTGAGAAGAAATAGGGAGGGAGGAGGAGAAGTACTCTGCCGTTGGGGAGAGGATCTGTTTACAGTCTGGTACCTGCGTTTTGGGCAAAGTATAAGCCGGCAGAGGTACCGTCGCTACGCAATTTGGCAGGCAGAGTACATGGAAACTGATGAAGGACCAGGTAATGGCGACTACGGGCAGCCGCATTGGCGTGAGAGAAGGTTGCGCGCCTGATGGAGGGGCAGCTCAGCAAGTAACGACCCCTCCCCAGCAATTGGGTGGTGGGGTCGTGGCGGGCTGCGGTTCATGTTCACGGGCAGCTCCCCACCCGAGCGCCAGGTGCTAGTGGGCGCACCTGTGCTGAGAGTGGCCGCTAACTGGGCAGACTTGCTAATGCGCCGAGAACTGATACAGGCCAGACAGGTTCTGGGCCGATTACTCAGGGCCGTCGCCTAATGACTGGGTAGGTGAGAAGGTGAGGCGGGCGGCGGTGCCCCTCCATACGAAGCTCGTCTAGGTGCGTGTAACGCTACGTCGACGCAGACCGCGTTGTCGAGGGTGGCATGAATGCAGCTTGGAGGCAAGCAGGCCATGGCCGGCATGGGTCTGATTGGGAGGGAGGGAACAACGTGTTTGAAGACCACAAATCAGGTCGTTGGATCGATTGGATCAGGCGGCTATTGCCTGGTTGAGGTGGCAACTGGAACTACTCATTTAGATCGCAGGTGGCTATCTTGTTGCATCTGCCCACCGCATGGGCTGATGTGTTGTTAAGGCGGGCGCCATCTGATGATGAACCACACTCCGGCAGGCCGGTCCTAGCCCAAGAGGCTCCAGGCCTGTCCTGCCTGTAGCTTGGGGCCTGTGGCCTGTAGTGGCAACGCTGGGCCAGCTCCAGGGCTGCTGTGCTCTGCCAATGCTAGGGCGTAGGTGCACTGTAAAGCCTCTATCCCTGGGGAGCCGGGGACCCCATCCGTCCCGCCCGACCCCGGCCACCGATTGGAGAGGGCCAACACGTACAGCCATGGCCGTTGCCATCTGCCCATCATCCCTCACGATGCAGCCAAATCCTGGGCGCATCGGGCCTCCCATCCATGATGCGCACGGTAATCTCTCGGTTCCCATGTCTGGATTGTTCTGGCGGTCGGCTTGTCGGGGCATCACGGCTTCATCGGTTGGCTCCTCGCCTATGCAAATGCATAAATATCCCGTGACGCCCCGAGACACCGGAATCCTCAGGAGCAACGCATCCCGCTGGCCGTAGATCAACCTAGATAGCCGTGACTACAGCCGCACTACCGTGGCTGCACGCATTAATTATTACCCCATACAAACGTTTAGTTCCCATAGCTCGCGTGAGACACACCGCAACACGCACGACCATCCATCCTCATGCTGCTGGTGGATTGTGATGTTTGCCTGCTGCCTCCCGGTCTGCATGCATGCGTGTATGCATCGCCAACCTCACCATCAGTCAAGGAGAGCCTAGCAATGGTCCTTTACCGCCTACACGACGCTCACGAGAACGCAGCTACCTTGGACCATTCAGCGCCCTCACCAACCGGCCGGAACTCAACCCCCTCCGTGAAATATCCAGCGTCTTGCCAAGTCTTCATCGTTGGTCCATCAAACGGACCTTGTAATGCCCCTCCATCCCTGCCATCGAGCCATCTGAATTCCCATTGCCTAGATGGGTTAGAGGTCGCGTTTTCGTGACCCCGCGCCTCCTCAGGCCGTGGCTCGACCCAGTCTTCTCCGGTCTCCCGGCGGTACTCACGAATGAGCAGCTCCCGCTCCTGGTCGTATACCTCCTCGTAATCCCGGTTCAGTAGCTTGTCCGCGGCGTCGGTGATGGTGGTAATGGCCTCCCTGATGCGGACCTGCTCAGGATCCTCTGCCCCGGACTGGTCAACCTCCATCCCCTCACCATCCTTCTTTAGTTTTTTTAGCTTCCACTGGGGTATCTTTTTGGGCTTCGTCTGCCTTTTCCCCAGGCGGGCAAGTGCTTCTAGAGGAGTCTCGGTCTTCTCCAACTGCAAAATCAGAGACTTGAGGAGGTCAGACACAAGCACGTTATCTGCCTCTAGTCGTTGCTGGCGTGCTTGTTGCTCTCGCTTCATGTGAGCCTCAGCCGCCTTCTTCATGTCTTTCTTGCCAAGCCCCTGGAGCCAATTATCGTGCTCGGCATCAGGGTCACCTGCCCTGCGGATGTAGTTGCCACTTTGATCGAATTGCCCTTCTTCCATTTCCTCTCTGAGGTTGAATGCCTCCAATTTTGGGGCGTTCTTCTTCAAACCACCGGCACCAACCTCTTCGTCCACTCCTTCCTCCTGTATGGCAAGATCCGCATCTTCCTCGTCGTCACTGCTTTGGTTCTCCGTATCATCCAGGCGAACGTGCCCCCCAGACCGACTCTTGGTGTCCTGACCAGCGATTTTTTTAGAGTCGAGGAATTCTCCACCATTTTTCTTGTGTCCCGTGAACTTGAAATCGTCATCATCATCACCATCATCATCATCCTGTTCATTGTCCTTTTCATCGTCCTTCTGCTCTTCGTTTTCCTCAGGATCTGCGGCGAACATATCGTCGTCGTCGTCATCATCTGTAGGGCCCTGATTTTTGCCGGGCGCAGGGGATTCCTCCGTATCTACTCTTCGGGCATCGTAGTTGTCGAGCTGGTCTAGAATGTCTACCTTGCCTCGTTTGCGCGTTTCCGCCTGCGCATTAAAAGTGTCGTTGTCTGAATCACTGTCGTAGCCATCAATGTTGACTGCGCCGCGTTTTGTCGAGCTCTTCCCGCCGATGACATCGTGATCGAGGATGTCATCCTCTTCGCGCGCGTCTGGCGCAAGTTTAGAAGGATCTCTGACGTCAAAAACGACTTTTTTGGAATCAGCTCCCTCCTTGTTGTGATGCGTCCTGGCGTAAACGTCTCCGCCGTGCTTTGGTCGCGCTGCCGAGTGTCTTGATGCCATGATAGCAGTGTTAATGGAGGTCGCGGCTGGCTGAGGAATTGAGTCGAGGAAATGATATCTCGGAGCGCGACAGGGAGGGAAAGTTTGGCGAGCCGTCGAAAAATGTATAGTATCAACTCTGCCACAGTCAGCCTTGGAGCTCTGACTTTGGCGCCACAGATGGTCCCCTGTAGCCACACCAGCAATATAGCTCCGATGTGCGTCATGGCCACTCCACCCATCCACCCACGTCTTCTGCCTTCTGCCTGCACCAAATCACAGGTGTTTGGGCACATCAACACTCGACCTTTGTTCCAGCTGCACCGTTGATTCCTGCACCACTACACTTCGACTACCGGACGCGACCGACGGGGGATTTTCTTCCTATACCAAGAGATAACACATAACTTGGTTCTGTGCTTCTCTATTCGCTGAACTCGTGTGCACATCCTCGACGCTTTGTGCGGTGACAACCTCGAACGACTTCCTCGCTCCGATTCCTCAACGACTTAGCACAGGCTCTGCCCGGAAAAGTTAACCATGGTAATATCTCATTCTTCGCCTATCTATACATTACCAGGCTCTAACCACGGCAACACAGTATTCCGCTGGGTTTGGCGGCGGACGACGGCCGATCGTCCAGCGTTTCGATGAATACTACCGATGCTACCCTGTCATCATGGCTCCAGGCGCGGAGCGTCCGGAACTCAACTTTGGCTCCAAGATTATCCTGCCTCCGTCAGCGCTGGACAAGGTGTCGAAGCTCCACGTCCAGTGGCCGCTGTTAATGGAGTTGATCAACGGCGAGAGAGGAAAGCACTCGCACGCGGGTGTGCTGGAGTTTATCGCCGAGGAGGGAAGGGCTTACATTCCCCAGTGGGTATGTTAACCTCGTGGGGAATCTATTCCGAGGTTTCATAAGCTAACAGGGCCCCCAGATGATGGTCACACTGGGTATGGATGTTGGGGATATGATTCAGATTCGAACGACATCCTTGGAGCTCGCAAAGCTGGTCAAACTGCAGCCCCAGTCTACCAACTTTCTTGATATCAGCGATCCCAAGGCCGTATTGGAAAGGGCATTCCGAAACTTCGCTACACTGACAAAGGGCGACGTCTTTAGCTTCGAGTATAACGACACAATCTACGACGTGGCCGTCCTGGACGTCAAGCCCGAAACAGAGAAGATGGGTGTTAGTATGATCGAGACCGATGTGTCAGTCGACTTTGCGCCCCCTGTTGGCTACGTAGAGCCTGAGAGGCAGAGCGGCACCAGCACACCACGGAGTGGAAAAGCCGGATTGCCAGCCGGAGGAGTCGTTCACAGCCAGGGAACCATGGCGCAGGCCATCAACTACGATGCCATCGCCCCTAGAGTTACAAGCACGCCAACAAACTTTCTGGGAGAAGGTCAGCGCCTAGCCAAGAAGGGAAGCAAGAATCCAACACCGAAGCCAGCAACTCCAGTGCCCGTTGACTTGTCAGCGGCACCGCCCAGACGGCGTGATGGAGCACCGGCACCACTTCGACTGCCCCCTAACAAACTCTTCTTTGGCTACGAGGTGGTCCCGGTCAAGACCAAGGACGAGAAGGAGGAGGAGGCAAACAACGCTACCAAGCCCCATTTCGCGGGTGCTGGCCAGTCGCTACGTGGGACTGTGAAGAGAAAGGGCGACACAGACGATAAGTCGAAGCCCTCAGAAAAGAAAGGCCCAAGCGATGGAAATAGGCTCGATGATCGACGACCTCGATAAGGGAGAGAAATTTTCACAAGTTCCATTTCGCGGGCGTTTGGATGTTTGGATCGTGGTTTTCGAGAGTTGCGGGTATGCATAGGTATATAATATATTCCCAAGGCACTTCTGTTTCAACGTCGAGGAGCTGGCGCAGAGATCTTCTCAAACTCGTTTTAACAACATGGGATAGGTAGAAGAAGACATGACTAGCCAAACCAATTTATTAACTTGAACTAGGCAAACTTTAAGAGACGAGCATTGAGTTTTGATTAGTTGGGCACCTGTTACAGGTATCTGAATGTGCTAAGCTAGAAGGAAAAGTAATGAATGAGAACGGTGAAGGCATCTAAACGGAAGCAAGCCGCCGGCTTCTAGCCTTTGTGCCTAGCCGCGATTCTTAGAGCAAATCATTCTGGGCAGACCTTGAAAGAAAGTCCAAAAAAAAGAAGGATGCACATAACAAGCGACCAGAAGCGTCATAGAAAGATCCTTTTATTCTCTCCGGATCTGCACCCTTGGACCGCGTTGCCAGGCTGGTTTTCCATGTTGTTTAAACACCAGAGTCAAAATCCATGTCTCCAGGAGCGGCCCTGAGGAATGAAATCGTTAGCCAAATGCCAGAGAGGGCCGAGAACCACAGATCCCATGGCACACTGCAGCCTACTTTTGAATCTCGCGATCGGAATCATCATCGGACTCCTTGGAGAGCTTTCGCTTCTTGGCCGAGAGGGGCTTGACCTTCTTCTCCGAGTCGGAGTCATCCTCGTCCTTGACAACCTTGGGCTTGGCGGCTCTCTTACGGGGGGTTGGCTTCTGAGGGGTGGAAGCCGCAGAGTTGGACGGGCCGCTCTTGACCGCGTCGGCGCCGTGGCGCTCCTTGAAGTCCTTCATGATCTTCTTGCTCCAGCGTTGCCTGTTTTATTTTGATGTTAGTGACAGGCTGAAGGAATTCACTCGCTCGTGGTCCCCTTTATTCAGGGCGAAGGGAGACAACTCGACTTACGTGATGGCATCGCGGCTGAAGGTGTAGCCCCAGGCCTCCATCATTTCCTGGATTCTAACCCAGTCATACTTGGGGCGCTCGCCGTGCTGAGTGAGGATGACTGCCATGGCAAGGTCTCGCTCCTCGAGGGGACCCCATTTCTTCTCGGCGCCGGGCATGATGAAGTTGCCTGTTTGGTTTCTGTTTTAGTCTGATGTTTCAGTCAGGGCAGGCTTGGAGCGAGGAGGGGGCGAGAAAATGTAGAATGGTAGTGTTAAGGGAAAGGGATCAAGTTGGCGAAGATGATACATACAGTGTGCAGACTGATGTCTGAACAACGGTTGCTCTGTATGATATTGGAACTGTGGGATCCAAAGGGAGTAATATTGGGACGGAAGCGAGGGATCTTCTTTTTTCCAAGTGGTTTGAGTGAGGTTGTAGAAAGGGAAGATGTGATGGTTGTGTGGGTGGGTGTAGGATGAAAGGTGAGGAGGCAAAAACCGGAGGTGGGGGATTCAGGGAGATTAAGTAGAGTAGGGAGGGAGGCCAAACTGAGCAGGCAGCGAGCTCACTTTCCTCTCACCGTGCTGTCTGAGCCTGCAGCACCCTTTCCAGAACGGAAAGCAAGTGGCTTGGGGGTAACAGGCTGGTGGGTAGCAACAGCGTGATTCACGACCAGTTCACCCGGCGACTGAGATACCTGCTCACCCTCCACGGACAAGGCGATCTCGCACCACATCCTGAGAGAATGTTAGCTAAAATGATCACCATATCTTTCTATAATACCCAACGCTGTGATATGTGTATGTAGTATTAATAACAGGGCTGATATCAATAGCTACACCGAAGTAAGTTACTGTTATCATACCTGCTTCTCTTGGTACGGAAGCAAACAGGGACAATCCACAGCTATCCTCTTTGTTTATGTAGTTTGGCAGCCGGACAGTCGGCACTATGACATTCTCTCTGTTCACACAATCTGATGATGTGTCACTATTTAGAAACTCCACCAGACGACTGGAATAGCCATCAACATAAATCCAGAGCAACGAGATTAATACTAAGAAACAGCAACTATAGAGTTTCGCTTTCTAGCATTCAATATTCTCCATCACGGGAGTGTTGAGGGTTTATCGACGTCATGCCAACATCGACCTGCCCGCTGCAAAATACAGGCCTTGGATGACACTCTACTCTTTGGAACATCTCACATCAAGAGGGGACTACAAGTATATGTGGGAATTGCTTTGCATTGATTTTTTGTCTGTTCCGTATGGTTGTCATGTGAAGAGCAAAGCAGACTAATCTAGGCACAAGCCCTGAATGTCGTGAGCTCTTCAACATAATGTCCCCTTCCATCGCGATTCTTCAAGCCATTTCTTCCAATCATGTCACTCATCATATTGAAGCCAATTCCCAAGATCTTGAAATCATAACCAGTGTACCATTAGGGGCGACCAAAAAGTACAGCTCTGTAGAAATTTTCCAGAGCGAACATCGTAGATGTTTCTAGGCCTGGTATTCATCGAGATCAGGTCTGCAGTTTGAAGATTTGACAGTTAGTGACAGAGCTGACCGTCATGGCATATTGAGAGAAACTTACGAAGGCTCCTTCTTCACGCGCTTCACCGGCTTCTTGGAGGGACTCTTTTCGACATCGGAGAGGCCCTCCTCCTTCTTGAAGTCATCGTCGTCGATGTCAGAATCATCGCTGTTGACGCGCTTGCGAGAACTTTTGCCCGCCGCCTTCTTGGCAGAGGCCCCCTTGCGAGGGGTAGCCTTGGATGGTGTGCCCTTGGTTGGGGTGTCGACGCCTCCAGCATTTTGAATGCTCGAGATGTCCTTTGTCTTACGTAGCTTCTGGACATGCTGGCTATAGATAGATAGAAAGATTAGAAATTTGGACTGTAACGGATAAAAAAGAACGAGACGAAAAAAAGAAGAAGAAAAAGAAAAGACAAGAAAAGAAAAAGCGAGTGAGTACTTGATGGCATCGAAGGAATAAGTATGGCCCATGCCCTTCATTATTTCGGTGATATTGGTAATGACAGCCTTGGTAGCTTTGGTCTCATAGATGAAGGCAAGCAAAAGATCAAGATGGGAGTTTTCATCCCATCCACGAGCTTTCTTGGATGGAGTATTCGACATCTTGAAGAGAGGGAGGATTTGATGAATGTGTGAAGATGAAATTTGTGCGGCAGTGTTGAGGGTCAAGTATTGAACGACCAGAAGGTATGAGCGGGAGAGATTGTGGAGTGGATGGAAAGAGTGAGAGTTGGGCGTTTTAGGAGAGGAGATGAAAGGGAGGTGAGGAGAGTGCAGGTGCCAAGGTGCAAAGTGAGAAGCAGGCAAACAAATAACAAACAAAAACCGGAGAGGTTGTTGTACCGAAGCGCGTTTTCAGTGAAAGTGTATCCCTTGGCTCTGAGTTCACCCATCACCTTCTGGATATCAGAAGTAGCTATCTTGACGTGCTGAAAAAGTGCAAGCAAGATGTCTTCATGGGTATGAGCATCCCATCTCTGGGTAGATCTTGGCCCTGGAGAAGCCATGCCGGGAAACGTGGTAGATGGAACGAATGAATGAAAGGCGTGGAAAGTTTTGAAAAGATTGAATGCTTGTTGTGAATGAAGAAGTGGGAGAACGAGGACGGAGTTGCTAAGGAAGGAGATGTAGGTGGGGGATTTGTAGGCGGGTGATGCTTAGGAGTTGCTTTGTTTTGAAAATTTTGACGGAGTGGCAGCAGCCGTCCACGGCCGACAACAAATACACCCAAAGAAGAGACGAGGGTAGAAGACCCAAAAGAGAATTCATTGCGAGGACTCAAGAAAACAAGAAATAAAGCTTACCGAATGCCCTCCCAGGTGACAGTGTGACCGCAGTTGTTGAGGTACTGGACAAGGCCATCTCTCATCTTGGGGGAGAGGCCTTTGGATATGGTCCCAGCCTCGTAAAGACCAATGATGACATCGCTGAGGAACTCGGCGTTGTCCCACAGAGACGATCCCTTCTGAGGAGGCATGGTTGTTCGACTGTCGACTGTTGTTGATGAACTACCTGGAGATTGGAACGAGGTTGGCGTCACAGAACCGTGAACGAATAAAGAGGCGAGTCGTAGATCGGGGACGAAAGCTGGAGAAAGACAAGTGAGGGTTGGGTGAGGGTTGTGGTGAGGGAAAGGTGCGTCGGTGTTTTGGCGTGAGAGGGAGGCATGCGATCACAACTCACAGGTCCCGTGCAGGGTAATCCAGTACATGCGCTTTGTGACCATGAAGGCTGCAAGGCCTCCTGCAACTGCACTCAAACAAGTACCTTGGTAAACTAATTTGTCCCATTTCCTATCGCTACCATTTCTAAAGCAAACAATATAAAACATGATACTCCATTGATTTACGTTGACCCAGCCCATCATCATCAAAAACACATTAGTCACTATCTGCCAACTATTGGCCACTCTTGATAAAGAAACATAATAGACCACATGATACGTTACCCCTGGAACATTATGCTTCCGCGTAGCTGAAGCTGTTGCCGGGTTCGGTTAGCGTAAGGTATTGTCTGTAGTTTGAATATGGGATGGGATCTTACTCTGGAGGATATGGGTCGTTGGGCCCGGCATTGTTGGCAGTCGCAAGAGCCAGAACTGGATCATCTTCCAGGGAGTCGGATGGCATTGCGCCGTCAGAATCTATCCTCTGCCGCTTTATTGGGGGCTCGTCGTCGCCCTCGCCTTCAGCGTCGACATCATTCTCAGGTTCGAGATGAAGGGCATCGACAGATGAGCCTTCTAGGCCGGCCCTAGCAGTGTGCTGCATAGGAAGGTCCCCAACGTTATGACTTGCCGCCCCCCCTGCTTTGCTATCAGAAAGGGACTGGTTTGGCTGACTGTCCTGTAGGTGAGGCTCTGTGACATGAGGCTGCGGTTGAGAGATTCCGGGATGCGGCTGCTGCCCATGGAGCGCAGCGTGTGGTAGTGGAGGCGAAGGATAGTGTATAGGCTGTTGGCTTGGCTCATAGGCCTGACCAACTGGAACCTGAGGCGGAAGTCCAGGGATTGCTACGGGTGCAGGATTTGGCTGCCCAGAGGCTACGCCATCAGGGACCGACGGCTCGGTGGCTGAGGCGTCTGAGGATATAGACTTTTTTGGCCTCCCCCTTCCAGGACCAGGCCTCCTGGTAATCGGATTCCACGTGGGATCAACACGTCTGCTGCTAGATCCTGGGCTTCCACCATCACCTGGCTTGTTTTGGGCTCTCCTCAGGCCTTGAAAATGTTGCCTGTGAGGAAATTAACGGAATTAGTAGCTATTTTGGATAGGCGTAGGCATCAAGTAAACAAAATGAAGGCAAAAGACGATAAAGCATCAAGGAGGACGTAGTTATGAAGATGTTGGTGATAGAATAGTGAATGATATTGCTCGTAAACAAGAAAAGATACATATATGGATGAGTGGTGTTGATGATATCCCTGCCCGACATGGAGCAGGACTCTGAACACGAACATCACAATTGTCAAATGCGAATGAAAGGGCGGCCATTCTAAAAAATTTCCCTGACGAGGCAGGGTGGTGCGATGCATCTGGGGCGTCTCAATTGAGACCAGGACACTTACCGACAACCCTCATTTGTGAACCCATACCCGAGGGTTCTCATGTGGTTACCGATGGTGGTCCATTCTGAGCCGCTGATAACCCCAATGTTCTTCACGGATAGTATGGTGAAGAACAAATCTTTATCGGCGCGATCATTCCAATTCTTGTTATTCATGATTGGAGAGTCAATGGCTAGCTATTCCCATGGAGCGCCCAGGGACTTTGACGGCTGGTGGGATGGGCTGGTTGTGACTTCGTGCTGTGGATAAATATTGTTAAGTGTATTGGTGGAGCAACACAAAAATTGGTAGTGAAAGATCATTCCGCACCGAGATAGAGGGGTCGGGGGACGCTTCAGGTGCCGTCGGACTCTGGAAGATAGATGTTCCGGCCATCTCGATCATCTCGCGTCGGCAAAACCTGCATGTGAAGAGGAGAAAGAGGTCATAGCTGAGGATGCGAGGCAATCTTTGTCTTCTGGATATAAACCTACTTATCAACTATGCCAAAGCTCTCAAAAAAATCAACAGACAAGCATCCTGCAATGGCTGGAAACGGCCCTGTGTTGGCCAAGATGAAATGTCATAGCCGAGACTGAGCCCCTGTTTAGCCGACGGATAGGGCCATCAGTGTTGGAGAAGGGGATCGAAAAGCAGCAGTCTCGACACGGAGGGAGGCGCCTAGGGATTCAGGCAACAGCGCTGGGGTGGGGAGCTGGCCGGCATGGGTGGCTGGAACCCCCTCCCTTGGAGCAATTAAACGAACTCACGTGCTTTCGCGAATACCTGGCGTAAACGGAGTAGCGCACTGCCCCCCAAAAGTTCGCGCCCGTCGCGTCTCCCTCCCACCTCACCCCATCCCCCCCATGACGACGATTGCGAATTGGCTCGTCTACGCAACCATATATGCTCCTGAAAGTAGTTCCAAACAGAAATTCACATAGTTTTACTGCGTACGCAAACTTTCCTGGTCTTCTGAGCATGCGTGGTTGTTGCGTACGCAATTGCCCAGCTGGCGGCTTGCATCACCACTGACCCGGCGACGTCAGCGCCTTCTATCACTACACCCACAAACGGCAGCTGCGCTTTTGGCCGGCCTGCAAAAATCGGTGAAAAAGACATGGGAAGGCCCATCAGTGTGACAACATCCCCACAATATGATCCCATCAAAAATGAGGCTACATTTCTGGCTGAACTTAACGCAAGGGACAGGACGGCTAGCAGCGATTTACGAATGAGATGGTTGCCACACATCTGGGGATTTGGGAAGTAAAGGCGTTGGCACACAGTGCAGTCAGGCTCGCTACGGATTGTCAAATGTTTAAAGTGCAATTGAATGACATATACGACAGCTAAAGTGCCGCTATTCGGTTTGAATTTGGCCACTGACATGCCAGGTAAATGCGGACGGATAGCTGACAGCTGGTTCCGGTTTACCTAGTCCATGTACTGGTATAAATGTTGGGCTTGGATCTATAGCTTACCCCGGCGCTTTTTGCTTATTTTACCAAAGAAGGTGCAGGAATGAGTCACAAGCCAAGTTAGGGTAGCGTTTCACTCGTTGCTGGAGCTATTGAGGATCCTCGGCGAAGGGGAGGGGGTGAGGGGATGACCGCAATTGAACGAGTAAGCGGCTGCATATTATTTTTAATTCGCCAACGGACGGGGCATGCGGAAGAGGCATCGGATACAGCCACCCCTTGGGAAGCTTCGCTTAGGTCCTGGGAGTTTCACAGAATGGCACAGGAAGCTGATTCAGGGTGCTTGTCGAGCAAAGGCGATTTGCGCTGGCTCGATCCAATTGCCAATTGCTTGCGATGGAAGCGCCTCGCAGCCGATTGTCGCATTCTGAGACGGTGGAAGATAAAATTTAGCGGGCTGCAGCGGGGGTTAGGGGGGAGCACTCTGCGCCATGGTGCGCCCCAAACGCCCAAGCAGGGCCGAGCTAGCACTGTAGAGCAGCATCACAGCGCTGCAGCACTACCGCGGGCTAGGCCAGAAGCGGACGTCCCCCCACCATACCCACCATCTCGCCATGCACGATCTTGAGGTGGCTCGAGCCCTGTCCGGCGTCCGACCCAATCCCATGCCAGCTCCCCGTCTCGCCAGGCAACAATGGCCTCAGAGAGCTGCTTCTCATCTCGTACTCAGACATCTTTCCCTTGCCACTGTATGAGTTCCGAGTAGAGCTTCTGCATCACTAGGGAGACCCCAGTTTCTGCTCTTAAGTGTTTCCCACGGTTCCTGGACAGGGGCCGGAACAGTCCCACACCATCTCCCGCTCGATATAAGTGCGCCTGGTGTCCTCGACCTGTCGTTCCGTTCACTCTCCTCTCTGCTTTGCATGAGCTCGTCTGTCTCTTGGCTTGACCTTTGTCGTTTAATCTTACGTAGCCACATCGCCCAACCGGACCTTTACGCCTCATCGCCAACGCAACCTGACACGCCTTCACTTCACCCACACTTGTTCTCTTAATACATGCTCTTTCGTCACCCAGCCCACCTGATCTGTCTGCCTACCCCCAAAGCCTCCGGTTGCACGCCGTGAATTTCTTCAGCCTTCCATCCGACCTCATATATATTGTGAGTCTTGAGTCACCTGCCCATCCTTCGGCCCACCCCTCTGCTGCCTTGTGTCCTCTGCCTGAGAACGTGAATTTCTGCCTCGGGGTATATATACACTTCGAAGTCTTCGGTCCACACTTCCCTCGATAGTCCTTGGCGAACCTGCTGGGCGAACCTGTGTTGGAGTCAGCAAGGCTAATTGTATCTTTTGGTGTCTCCAGATAATTCACGCCAACATTTACCAGCCTTGTAACATGTCTCCTAACAGCGACAACGCCATGGCTCGATTTCTGTTCGCCATCTTAAAACAGAAGAACCTCAAAGATGTGGGTTTATCGAGCTGACATCCTGCTGAGATTGGCACTCCTGACACAATGCCTAGATCGATTGGAACCAAGTTGCCAACGACCCAGTGCTACTCCAACCCATCACCAACGGCCATGCCGCTAGAATGCGATACTCTCGCTTCCGGGCAACTGTCTCCGGCACCGGCACTCAGAAGAGAAACCGAATCGACTCCAAAGCTCGAGTAACGAAGCCTAAAGGGGGAAGAAGTGGCTCGGTCAAGAGCGAGTCTTGTGATGGCGACATCAAGCAAGAGCGCTCGCCTCCTCACCATGCACCAATGAGCCACTACTCGCCAACACCGACCACATCCCCTTATCTGGCAGATAATCTCAGCACTCGCTTCTTGACCCCTTGCAGCGACGACATGGCCAATGGCTTTCTGGTCAACCCTGCTGCGATGGAGAGCATCAACCACCAGCCTGCTCCCAAGTACGCTTCTCCTCTCGACTTCATCAACTGCCCGCCTCACCCATACTCGCCTGAAATGTCGGTGCTTGATGATGCTTTTGATATGAGCAGCCTCAGCGCAGACAGCGCTCGCCAATCTCTCGGCGATCACAGCCCTCTCTGGAACGACAACCTTCCATTTTGATACCCAGCAAAGAACTTTTCTTTTTCTATTTATGAAGGATCGATTCGGAATCTGGGGAGGGTTCGTTTTCTGCCTTGTACCAAATGATGTGAAACAAGAAAGAAAGAAAAAAAGGACGGAAGACAACGGCGTGGATCATGATTAGACATTTCCTTGTGTTTTTCTTTACTCTACATGTTCTGATTTTGACATTTATGACTTAATGACTACGAACAAGGGACATCATTGCTTACCTGTTACCAGATTGATGAGCTTTCCTCCCTGTGGTGTTTGGTAAAAGGGCATGGCAGATCTCATTAGCTTATGCGCATCCTGCAATGATCATAATAAAGGATGGGCCAACTCGGCCATTCAGACCATTTTCTACATTCCCTGATCTCCCATGTGAAGTGAACTTCGGTCATGAGCATAATCGCTCTTGTTGTGCACGAGTGGCTTCTGTAATTTCATGGTAGGGGCCAGCCCAGATTCTGGATGAGGAAGTCGAATTATTGAATGTCACATTCTCTCTGCTTGGCACTAACAAACGAAAGTTGGGGTAAACGCAAAGCTAGAAAAGATACATAGTACGGTACCTCGCGGGACCATGAAACCCGGCTAGGTTCCCAAGAATTCTCAGGCATGGCTGCCCAGGAGCAGGTTTGGCCGTTGTGGTGATTTGCCCCCCACCCTCTCACTTCAGCTTCAGATCAGCAAATTCTCGCGTGACAAACAATAACATGCAGAAAGCCCGCCCTCTGCACACCCATTCACCCGTTTCTTACTCAACTTGCCTGGGAAACAGCAGTCTGCTCCTCCCCTAACACTCCTTCCACAACACGCCTTCCACTCATTTGTCCTCTTTACCTCCAAACCTTCATTCTGAGAAGATTCTTTCTCCTCGACTAAATTCAAAGACTCTGATCCGCAAGTCAGACTCTCACACATACCACTTCTTGTTCAACAAAACAAATAAACTTTCAGTCTCGACCAAAAAACTCACCATTTTCGACCAAGCAGCTAATACAATGGCTGATGAAAGTAAGCAACCTCAACCCACGGCTTCAGAAGCCATGTTCTTTTTCTCCATCGTCAAGAACATGAAAACCCAGGCGGATATCGACTGGGTCAATGTTGCGGAGGATCGCGGTTTCAAGAACGCTGAAGTTGCCAAGGTATGCTCAAGTCCCAAGACGACCAAGTTCTCTGCTCCTCCCACATGAACGCTTCATTAACAGGTGAATTCACCAACAGGTCCGCTTCGGCCAGGTCAAGCGCAAGCTTGGAATCTGGTCAGACAACGGCGGAGCAAAGTCCTCTCCTAAGAAGGCCAGAACCCCTTTGTCCACTCCTACCAAGGTGACCAAGACACCTACCAAGCGAGGAAGTGCCAAGGCTCGCATGTCCAAAATGAAGAAGGAAGACGACTACGACGATGAGGACAACAAGGGAGATGCCTCCAAGAACGAGTCTGACACCGATGGTGGCTCTGTCACCAAGCAGGAGGAGCCCGATGCCGGCCTCAACGATCCCTTCTAATTGGGCAGTGAGCACTGGAAACTTGTCACTCTCCTGAGGATGGTGAACGGAAGTTGCAAAATGTGATTGCTAGGAATTCTGGGTTGATGAAATATTCCGATCATTAGCTATGGTTTGTGGTAGTAAACACGGAGAGGGACAGTGAGAGAGCTAGACAAGGCGACTGGCAGAACGCAGAGAGCCAGATTATGATACCGCAGACTTCGCAATACAGAGAAACTTGACTTGATACTCTTCTTTTCAGACGTAGAATTTGGTGCTTAAGCTCATTGACTTATACCATGTATATTGGCGGGAAAAGATGACATTAATAGCACTGAGGAGTACCAGAGTGTAATCAAATGAGCCTTGGGCAGTGCCCTCTGGTTTGTGTTTCTGGCATTTCCTCAGTATTGTTTATTTGGGGGGCCGGTTTGTTTTCTATTGGCACTTTCTCACCCTACATAAATGAGAGTTGCCTTAGCTCCAGCACATTTCCCTGATCCCTCCTTCTTCCACACCAAGCTGCCACACTCCCTTCTCCTCTCAACACTCCTCCACACCCATCCCAAGATCAAATCATTTCCAAAAGCCATCTGCCAGCACCGCCTACAGTCTGCTCAACAGCTAAAAGCAAAAGACTCTAAATCTACGCCATATTTCACATTTTAAGCTACTTTCTCCAACAAAACAGTGAGTTGCACTTTTTCATCCCATCTCTAACCAGATCCCACCCAACTTGACAACGATCTAACAGGTATTCATAGCCATCATCATGCCAGCCAAGAAGGTCACCTCTGGAGATGGAGATGCTCCTCAGGGACTGAACTCCAACGAGATGAAGTTCATCAAGGCAGTTTTCGACAACATGACCCAGAAGCCTGACGCCAACTGGGACAACGTCGCTGTCGACCTCGGTCTCAAGGACGCCAAGTGCGCAAAGGAGAGATTCCGCCAGCTCTCTGTCCGCCACGGATGGCGCGAGCAGGCCGGTGCCACCTCTGGCGCCCGCAAGGCCAGGCCTGCCGCTGCCAACGGTGACAGCAAGGTCACCAAGAAGCCTCGCACCCCACGCAAGAAGAAGGCCATGAAGGAGGAGAGCGACGAAGACGACGACAAGAACGATGTCAAGTCTGAGGAGGACTCCGACAAGAGCGCCCGTGCCTCCATTGACGGATCTATCTAGACCTTTCGTTTGGTCTCATTGGTGTACACCTGTATATGCAACGGGGGTTCTGCTCTTGGAGACTCTGGGGTAATCATGGGACACATGAGTTTTAGACGGCCTTTTCAAGGCTACATGGAGATTTGGGTTTAAAGGAACTACATTAGAGACACATTTGAACTACTATTTGTTTGATCAGGATAGCTTCATCTAAAGTGGCCTGAATGATGACGGCAGTAGCTAGTAAACAGAGATCAATACTCATCTTTTCACAAGGGCGGCACGTCTGCTGAGTGATGAATTAGGCCTGTCTGCTCCTTCAAAAATGCAAAATCGACTGTCACTTGTCTTCTGAGTAGGGCCGCAAGGGGTGGCCTCTGTGTTGAGTCTAGCATGGCTGCCTGCTGAGCCGAGTAGCAAACAAACACGGGGTCAATACAAAAACAATGCATTCTGAAATGTCAACAATAGGGCAGTGATGCTGGGCTTGTGGTCCTCCCATTGTGCGGATGAGCCAATAAAACGGAGTGCAGCGGACCGCCGACTGATCACCTGCGGCCGAACTGACCGTATTGTGAGCAGAAGGTCAGATCCAAGCACTCAGAGAGGCTCCCCGAACCCCTTTACGACCAAGAGAACTCATTGACTCCCAGCCCAACTGCCTGCCCAGCCCCTTCCCGCCGCAGCCCTCCTCCCCTTTAAGACCTAGCCTCCTCCTCCTCCTTCTCCTCCTTCTTCACCTCACAACTCACTCTTCTACATACCTGAACAGGCTTCATACACACACAAAGAACAAGAATCTGCACCTTCCTCCTTGCCCTCACTCCGCTTCAAAGCTTTTGTGCAACACGTTTGTTGTCTCTTTACTTCTAAAGATCTGATCGTCTACATATTCTTGCCTCGAAGTTGACAATCCATCTTCACTCCCATTTTCTCCTCACTTCAAAAACCCTTCTTCAGCAACCACGACAGCCAAGATGTCAGTCAAGGCAGACGCTACTGAGCAGGTGCGATTCCTGGTGCACTGCATCGGAAACGCCCAGAATGGACGAGTGAGTGCTTCTTCCATCCCAACTACTACTCCGTGCCCAGCTTTTTTCCATCCGGTCACTAATAAATCTCATAGCCTGATTTCAACGCCGTAGCTACTGAGATGGGCATCGTCTCCAAGGCCGCAGCGTGAGTATCTCCCTTCCTTTTCCACATGTCTTCATAAGTTCGTATCCAGCTGACCCAAAACACGCAGCCAAAAACGCTATGAGAGACTGCTCAAGCAGTACAACATCACCCGCAAGCCAAACCAGGCATCTGCTACCACTAATGGTGACAGCGAGTCTACTCCCAAGAAGACCAGTCCCAAGAAGCGAGCTGCTCCCGCTGCGGTCAACGGCAGCCCTACCAAGAAGCGCGCCGGCCGCGGTGTCAAGAAGGAGGAGACTGACGAGGACGAGGACAAGCCTCCCAAGACTCGATCTCCCCGCGCCGCCGCCGCCCAAAAGGCCGAGGCTGCTTCTGGTGACTCCTCCGAGGAGAAGCCCGTCAAGGACGAGCGTGAGGAATCTCCCCTCTCTGGTAAGTTCACCACATCACAAGCAGACCAACGAAACTGGCTAACTGTGTGACACTGCGCCAGATCCACCCACTGACAATGAGTGAGGTCTGATGGTTTCTTCAAAAAGAAAACTTTCGTTGAGCCACGGAACCCGTCTGTTTGGGGAATTTGGTTGAGATTGATTACAGGAGAGACGGGAATCTGGAAGTTACGATATGTGTTGGCTGGCTGCGAACATTGGAGACTCTCTCTCATGACATTTTGCCCAACTAGAAATCTGGTCTGCTTTTTTTTGCTCTTTATTTACGAAATAGTCATGCAGACACGTAACTGCCCAGTAGAAAATGGAATCGCAAGTTCATCATATCTCATCGGAATCTGTGGCATAATATGGGGTGACTTGCTCTTGGTTCTATGAGCGACACTCCTCCAGCTCCCAGATTCTGGTCAGGACAGATCAGTGACTGTTTTTTGAGCGCTATTACACTGGTCCCAAAAAACCTGCAGCTCTACCTCTAGCGAACAATAGGAATAAGGTGAGAGTGAGCACAGCGGCTATTGAGACAGGCTCGAGCACACCGGCCGGTCACGTAACACCGCCTTCCCCTCTTTCACTTCGATTCACCCCTCTTCTGCTGCTATTGTCGATGCCTGCGCATTGCATTCAATGTAAAACAGCACGTAAATGCGCAATTGAGCATTCAATATCCCGCCCCCTCTTCGCCCCTAATGACAAGTAGAACCCCCTTTTCAATGCATCCGTAGATTTGATCCTAGATAGAATTCCAAACCTACTTCCTGATATCACTGCATCTTCCACCTTCACTCGAATCCAACTTCAAGATATTCGTGAGGATATCATCCAACAATTCGTGTTTCCAAACCAATCCCCAGCTTCAGTCAGCCAGATCACTCAAGCCGCTTCATCATGTCGCCTCCAGCTTCTCCTCTTCTTCACGCTGTCAGTTACCAGCAGGCTCCTGAAACAGGCAATCGCCGCAAACCTCCTATACTGCATATCCGAAACAAGAAGCCGCTCTCTGGAATTGAACTTGTGCACGTCCGCACGTCGTCTTCAAGTACGACATTGGACGCCAACTCATCACCATACTGCATCTCCCCTTCGTCTTCAGAAAGGAGTCTCAAGAGCGAGATCTCGTACACCCACAGCGACATCGAGACGATGAACCACGTCCTCGCCCAGGCCAGGCAGAGAGGAGATCTCCCTATTACAACCTCGTCCCCTACGGATGTCCAAGCAGTGATCCAAGACTACGGCTATCTCACCCGGCTCAGAGAAGCCCGCGGTGACGTTAGACGGCCTCCTCCCACCACTTACACGGAGCTTCGCGTCGAGGTCGCCCGCCGCATCAAAGACCGTGATTCTTCTCGCGACGATGAAGAGAGCCTCCAGGAAGCGAAACGTAGGGTGCACCATTATTTGAATACTGTCGGAACGGAAAAGCGATTCTTTGATGCAAACTCGCATACTGCCGAACGCCCGTCATCAGCGCGGAGCAATATCGAGAGTTTTGGTGAGAGCATTCTCTCTATTGTTGGTCAAGCAGCAGACCAGACTATGGTTGATGCCGCGGAGCCTCTTCGATTCAACGTCCAGCAACTTAGAGCTCACACTTCTGAATGCGACAAACTTCTAAACCACCAGCAAGACTTGGTCAGAGCCCTCAGTGCAATGATCAACCCCCAGGCTAGGGCGATCCAGACTTCCGGAGAGAACCTTGCCCTCCTTACTGGCATCGTCACCCATCTTTCTCACTTCGCCATGAATCTCCCATACGTCGTCGAACAAGCTGTGCAGAGAGCTGTCCATGAGCACACAGAGGCAGCAATCCAGCATGTTCTCCAGGCCCAACAAGAAGCAGTTCTTTCTCTCTTACAGCAGCGTCAAGAGCACAATCAAAGCAACCAAGTTATAAACTATGATCTACTTTCAACGTCGATTGTCTCAAAGCTCCAGACATCCGGCTGCTTGAGTCCTGAGCAAAGTTTCGCAAAAGAAGAAAAGGGCACCCGGGAAGGGCTAAGGAAATTTTGGCATCGCGTGAGGCCGTCCATCATGACTCTATGAAAAGATCGGGGAGAGCTTTGACAAAGTGGCTTCAAGACAGATCTAGGGGGAAAAGTGTCTTTATTGCGTTCAACCTGGTATCCAAGACTCCTGAATTGTGAATCTCTATTTGTACATATATATTTAGTAAACTCAGAGTCCGATCAGCCATGGAGGATACATTACGAAAAAAGCAAGTCCCGTTTAGCAAAGCGCGATCACCTATGCCCGCTGCTATGAAATTCAGATCAAGTGCACTTTAGTCCATGCGATAGCTAGGAAAAAACAGCAGAAATCTGAGGTGCGGACTAACGGGGCAAGCAAAGGGGTGTGTGGTGGGTATGCCCATGGCGAATCCCTACATACAATGAACAGTCAGCCGGATTGTCTCGCAAGATTCAGTCAATGGATATTCTCGTACCTCTGGTGGATTTTGTTGAGCAATTGGGTGGGTGGGTGGCTGGGAGCCAGCCCATCCCAAGGCTCAACAGTTCGTAAGTCCTGAGGGAGGGAAGTAAGTACCCAGCTATTGCAAAGGTCAAGGCAGCGTGGGGAGTTACGACGGATACTTGGTCGAGTTCTGTGGGGGAATAGTACCTGAAAATCATGAGGGGGCGTAGGAAATCCGGCCCATGTGGTATTGGAAGGGTCTCAGGTTGGTCTCCCACCTTTCGTCTGCTCCAGCGAGGGGAAGGGAAGCAAGATGAAAGGGAAGAAGAGGTGGAATTTATAAGCGGAAAGAGTTGGAGACGAGCCCAGCCCCCCGATCCATCCGGGTTCCTTTTCGTTATCATTGTCTCCGAGCCTCAATGTTGAAAAAGACTCTACGCCTAGTAGAGCTACAATGACGAGACGCTACCTCAACATCGAATGAATCGACCTTGACTAATGGGATTCCGTTTGTCTTTTAATAATGACTCCATCGAATTACTCAGTCTATTAAGCGTTCGTTTTGTTCACTCAAGTATTTAAATCATTGAATGAACAATACGGTTGACCTGGGCCTTCTATGCTGGGGAAGTTTACAGTGAAAAGTACCTACCTAGATACATTCTAAAGAATCGCCATACAATAGGTTTCCTTATGGTATTCAAAAGCTTTTGACACAAGCCCAACAATCGAAATTCTCCCCCGCCCACCTAATGTTGGATTCTCGTTTTCTGCGTGAGAAATCAGCGAGTGCGCACATCCCCACGGCTGCGGCTGGTCCCGGGTTCCCACTACCTACAAAATGTTGAAGTACTCCCAGGCAAGATGGAAGTCATAAAAACGGAAGGCACAACTGTCCTTCTTAAGACTTGTATAAAGCTACCACCATGTGCTGTTCTTTCCGTTTTCCGACTTCATCCTCCTTGCCTCCTCTCCTGCTTGCCATAGTTTCTCATATTTGCAGTATAACATTCATTTCAGGTCGGGTGTCACCATCGCCCTCGAAAGCCAAGCTAAGAATGGTTGCTTCTCTCTGGCGAGAGGAAACTTCGCAAGCCCAGCCAAATGCTCAATGTAGGGCCCAGGTTTCAACAATGCACCGGGCAGTGGCGTTGCCCAGCAGACGGTCCCTAAGGCACACTGATGAATACCTACAGACAGCTATTGACGTAAGTGATTGAACAATTGGTGAATACGATTATCCAATAGGCTGCTTCACCCGCCGGTACATGTTATTCTTTCGCCTTAGCGCGGTTGAGTCCGCATTCTGGCGACTGCTGCCAACTGCCCGTCTGTTAGGTCCCAGCCCCCCACGCCGCTGTGCAAACAGTCTCCCACAATGGAAACCAGAGTGACTTCGTGTAGATGTTGAGCGGTCGCCTCCGACCAGCCTCTTTCTCTTTCCCGTGTCCTTCACCTTCTCTCATTAATTTCTTCCTCCGCAGAGTTGTACCATCCGTTCTCTGCGGCTGTTTCATCCTCAACACCATCAGACATTCATCCCAACTTGAGTTTACTCTCCCAGCAATCATCCTCTCTTTGGTTTCACTCGACTTTGACACGATTCTCTGTATTGCTGGCAATATAGAGATCAGAGAAGTAATAGCGAACCATCATCACTCCCATCCGCCTGGAAAGACTTTTTTTCCGCCTCGTTTTGATAAGTTTCAGAGGTCAGTGAGACTCAACTCCCAATTTCTCGTGTTTATCTTTCAAATTCGGCATGAATCTCTAACACATTCATAAGCAGCCTTACGAGAACTACACGAACCTACTCTCATCAAGATGGGTTCTAAAACAGCGAAGCGAACACCGGCCAAGGAAGGTCGCTCGCCAATTGCGACTCGCCGCTCAGCCTCAAAGAACATCAAGGCTGAGCAGACGCCTTCACCATCCCCAGCCAAATCAGCATCGTCCAGAAACCGAACACCACGAACTGGGTTCACCCATCGCCTTCCCACTGCGGAAGAACGAAAGTCCAACGGCCGTGTTGCAGGTCGGAACTTGATCGTTTGGGGACGTAAGTGAAATTTTATCTTGATAACCATCTCTTCTCCTTCTTCTTTTCTCTCTTTTCCTTCACTTAACGGGCTTTACTAACATGTTTCACAGGTCCACGCATGGCGGAGAAACTTCTCTTGCACATGCAGTATGAATGTGCACGCCATAAGATTCAGGTTCCCTGGGACACTGTGGCTCATCGTCTCCACCCTGGATCCTCCGGCGCAGCCATCGTCCAGCATCTTAACAGGATCCGGCGGGAACTGGTCGCTAAGGGCCACCTCGTTCCGCCAGCTACTTCACGCAATGGTGCTGTCCCTCCTGAGTCCACCGACCCAACTGTCCGAGGCTACGTCCGCAAGGACATGGACGGTGAAGACAAGGAGTCTGTTCGGCCTGTGCGCTACGATGAAATCATGGATGACCGCAAGTTCAATCTTCCCAGTATGGACAACCTCGATGTCATTGCCGAGAATACCGAGCGTGAGCTCAACGACAGTGAAGACAGTGGCAATGAGGATGACACACCTCAACTGAACTCGAATAGCCCTTCGGACGATTCTGTCAAGTCCATGAACTCATTCTACCATGCCCAGCCTAACTCCAATGCATACGCTCCGCTCCAGGCGCCTGTCTCTTTTGCTGATTCCGAGCCAAGCTATCCTGCTCTGGGTGCAATGCCACCTCCAGTTGATCAGGTAAGTTCAAGCGCCCAAACAGGTATATTGATTCAGAGTTGCTAACCATATCTCAGAAGTTCTTACCCGGCAATGGCAACTCGCCTCTCAAATACCACGGAGAGAATGATGGCCAGTATCCTGGATTTCATTTCCCAGGCGGTTCTTTCCCGAACCCGATGATGTACAACCAGGCCATGCCAAGTGACCCTTTCTCGTATGCTCAGCCGCAAGGGCACGATGAATCATCATCAGAGCAACAAGCAAATCACTCTGCCAAAAATGGAACAGCTGACCCAAAGGGCCCATATCCTGGCCCTATGCCTATGTTCCCCCATCCTAACTACCCTTACGCTTACCCCTGGATGCCGTTTCCAATGAACCCATACCTTGCCTACGGGCCCCCAATGGAGGGAGCTCGCCAGGAAACGTCAGTGGAACCCAATGGAGAGTCGCCTCGCGGTGATGACTCTTTTGTTGTTCAAGATGTGCAGTCGGAGCAGCCCAACGTGGATGACCTTTTTGTGAGTGGCACCCATCGGGCAGAGCAGGCGACACAGAATCAGCATTCTGACCGCCAGTGAACAGACCGCCAGTGAACAGGATGCCGACCTCGGCGAAGAGGGCTCCCTTCACACTTTACTAGAGGACGATGATTCCCTTGAAACGGTACTGGAGAACGAAAACCTCCTTCAAAATTTCCCCGAAGAGAATGAAGACTGTCTTCACAATTTACTGGATGATGATGAAGAGTCCCTTCAGAATTTTCCCGAGGAGAATGGAGATTCTTTCCAGACTTTACTCGAGGAGAGTGAAGGCTCTTTTCAGACTTTCCTTGAGGAGGATGAAGAGTGATCAGAACACGGAAAGTGACCCTGGTACACACACTCACTTCACGGTTTCACCATTTGGTGATTCCTTTCGGTTTGTCAGTTGCGCACTTCGTTCCTCATCAACAAACAAACAAAAAGACAAAAAAAGAAAAAGAAAAGAAAAAAAAAGAGTAAGAGAGAAAAGAGAGATCGGATTACATTTGCGGTGCTTACAGATTTTCCTTCATTTACAAACAAGACAAAAGGCATCGGCTCATTTATACATTGTATTTCATGAAGTCAGTGGCCGTCTTCTAGACAGCCGACTTCATTATTGTTTCGTCTGCGTACAGCGATTGGACCAGGTTACAGCTTGGATCCTCTGTTACAAAGTGGTAAAACAAAAAGGAAACGGTTAGAAAAAAGCCAGACAGACAGAAAAAAGGTCGATGGGTGAGCGCTTCTAAGGCACATGGTCTTAGAAGTTTCTGGTACTGGATTTTATCTCTCATTATTTGCGCCGAAAAGAACGGCCAACTAGATTTGCTGACAGGGGAAAGATTGCCATCACATGGCATATTTAAGGAGTTTCATTTGCTTTTTAACTACAGATATACAGAAGTTCCAAGTAGGGTGCAACATGAAATGTACCTAGTTTTCATTCAAGCAGAACTTCACATCAATATGAACAGCGATAAGTGCTCGTGTTCTGAACTGAGAGCGGTGAATTGAATTGGCACTTTGGTGGGTCCAATCAGGGCACAGACGTTTCTAATGCCGAGCGAAACCTAGCCTCGGGTATGGGCGGATTTAACCATGCACACGCTGTTGAAGCAAGTGGTCAAAAAAAAAATCCAGAACAGAGCCACCCCAGACAGGCACAGGATCGCATTGCATATGTAGGCTTCATGCCGGCAATATGCATCGTGAATGGGCATTGGAAAGGGGTGGAATCTGAAAGTGCTGCATGGTGGGGTTACAGCCAGTTTGGTTCTAGCGGCGTTACTGGGTGGAGGTTTAGCCGATCTCCGTGACAATTTTTTTTGGGGCGAGAGCTTCAAGATGCTTCCGCTCAAGCCAGACCGAATTCTTCTTCTTTCTCCCCTCCTATCCCCGGATCCTGCGTCCTCTCCCCCAATCATCGGTTGGAGCTCTTGTCTTTTGTTATAGCGAAAGCAGCGCTCTCTTTGTAACAACTGTATATTCTCCTCACAATTCTCCCTCACACACACACATACACCAAGATGCAGCGCGCATTGTCTTCCCGGACCCGAGCTTCGGCTCTCTCTGCCGCTTCCAGATACCGAGCTGGAGCTGGCCTTGGCCAGCAGCTGCGCTTCGCCCACAAGGTATGGCAATCAGCGGTTACGACAGATGGACTATCCAACTAACAATGGAATCAGGAGCTCAAGTTCGGTGTCGAGGGCCGTGCTGCCCTCCTCGCTGGTGTTGACACCCTCGCCAAGGCTGTTGCCACCACTCTGGGACCCAAGGGCCGAAATGTCTTGATTGAGTCAAGCTTCGGCTCCCCCAAGATCACCAAGGGTAAGCACCCCATCAGATGAAGTGCCCGTGCGAGTATGCAGCTTTCTAATTATGATTGTAGACGGTGTTACCGTTGCCAAGTCCATCGTTCTCAAGGACAAGTTCGAGAACCTCGGTGCTCGTCTCCTCCAGGACGTCGCCTCCAAGACCAACGAAGTTGCCGGTGACGGTACCACCACTGCCACCGTCCTCGGCCGTGCCATTTTCTCCGAGACTGTAAAGAACGTTGCCGCCGGTTGCAACCCTATGGACCTGCGCCGTGGTATCCAGGCTGCTGTCGACGCTGTCGTCGAGTTCCTCCAGACCAACAAGCGTGACATCACCACCAGCGAGGAGATCGCTCAGGTTGCCACCATCAGTGCCAACGGCGACCACTACCTCGGCAAGATGATTGCCAATGCCATGGAGAAGGTTGGCAAGGAGGGTGTCATCACCGTCAAGGAGGGCAAGACCATGCAGGATGAGCTCGAGGTCACTGAGGGTATGCGATTCGACCGTGGATTCGTCTCTCCCTACTTCATCACCGACACCAAGTCCCAGAAGGTCGAGTTTGAGAACCCTCTGATTCTCCTCTCTGAGAAGAAGATCTCTGCTGTCCAGGACATCATTCCTGCCCTCGAGGCCTCTACCCAGCAGCGACGCCCTCTTGTCATCATTGCTGAGGACATTGACGGTGAGGCTCTTGCCGTCTGCATTCTCAACAAGCTCCGTGGTCAGCTCCAGGTTGCTGCCGTCAAGGCCCCCGGCTTCGGTGACAACCGCAAGTCCATCCTCGGTGATCTTGCTGTCCTGACCAACGGTACCGTCTTCTCCGATGAGCTCGATATCAAGCTCGAGAAGGCTACCCCTGATCTGCTCGGTACCACTGGTTCCATCACCATCACCAAGGAGGACACCATCCTCCTCAACGGTGAGGGCAGCAAGGACTCCATTGCTCAGCGATGCGAGCAGATCCGCGGTGTCATCGCCGATCCTACCACCTCCGAGTACGAGAAGGAGAAGCTCCAGGAGCGTCTGGCCAAGCTCTCCGGTGGTGTTGCCGTCATCAAGGTCGGTGGTTCCTCCGAGGTCGAGGTTGGTGAGAAGAAGGATCGCTTCGTCGATGCTCTGAACGCTACCCGCGCCGCTGTTGAGGAGGGTATCCTGCCCGGTGGTGGTACTGCTTTCCTCAAGGCCTCCGCCCAGGCTCTGAACGGCCTCAAGCCCGCCAACTTCGACCAGCAGCTTGGTATCGGTATTATCAAGAGCGCCATTACCCGCCCTGCTCGTGCCATCATCGAGAACGCTGGCCTCGAGAGCTCTGTCATCGTTGGCAAGCTGACTGACGAGCACGCCAGCGACTTCAACAAGGGTTTCGACGCCTCCAAGGGCGAGTACGTTGACATGATCTCCGCCGGTATCCTGGATCCCTTCAAGGTCGTCCGCACTGGTCTCATTGATGCCAGTGGCGTCGCCTCTCTCCTCGGAACTACTGAGGTTGCCATCGTCGAGGCCGCCGAAGACAAGCCTGCTGGTCCTCCTATGGGCGGCATGGGAGGCATGGGTGGCATGGGCGGCATGGGCGGTATGATGTAAACGGCAAAACGCGAATCATGAGAAAAGAAGAAAAGAACGGCCCTGTGTTTGTAGCATTAAAAAGGTACCAGGCATGATGGTGCATGGCTTCGGTGTTTACCAAGGAAGGTCGGTTGGATCAAGTGGCCCTGCAAATCTCCCCTCTCCTTGTCTACGTTGGTGTAGACGTGTTTTCATACCCTCTGGATGATTTTCAGGCAACTTGTTGGGACCCTGTATAATACATAGCATGTACACTTGCCAGTTATGAATCAATATATTGTATTAATGCCAATTGCGAAGAACCGTCGAAAACGTGAAGAAGAAGCTAAGATACATATGACGCTGCCTAGGTAATTAGTTGATAGCTGAGACACGGGTGTCGGGAAGCTATGGAGCTCTCTGGAGACGAAGAATGAATGCCCTGCTGCCTTGAGATAGATCCGTTCGACAACGTGCACAGCAAGGAGATTGCTGATGCCTGCCCGACGACGTGATACCAGTGTGCCCGATACTTACTTTGGTGCCTGGGGCCGTGAGACTGTCGTCATCAGCCACCCACGCCCCAATGCCCTGCTCTCAGTTCAGTTCCTTGTTGTCGAAATCAGCTCACAGAGCAAGCTCAGGATCACGTGCTGCCATCTCACAGGCAACCCCCCACCATGGCCAGCCACTGTGGAGTGTTTTTCTCGTCTGTGACACCGGGTCCCACCGCAGCTGATTACCCTACTGCCTGCCTACCACCTTGCCTGCCTCATCAATCTAGTTCCCCCTCCATCTACGATACCTGTCTTTCCTGTCCACGCAACGCCTACTAAGGATTGCCCCCGAATATATACGCAAGCCTTCTGTACCCTCCCCTCGGTGAGTTTTCATTCTCTCCTCCCTTCCCTCCTCCTCCACCATTATTTAATCTTGCCTCGTGCGCACCTATTCTCTTAATTCGTCTTGCAGCACCTGAACTGACCCAGCTGTTAGTCCCGCCCCCCTCATTCCGGTTCTCACAGCCCACCATGGTAAGTCGTCATGTCCTTATGTACCCAAGCATTTGATTCTCTAACGTCTCTTCGCAGTCTCAATCCGGGTTCGTCTCATCTCCTCCCCCCTCGTTTTCGCCGCTCCCTTTCTACTGCTACCCCGCTTCCGGACTGTCTGGCGCGCGGCGACAATGACGGAGCCGCGGGGTACAGAGGAGCTCATCGAGACGTCTGCATGACCACACCACGGCGCTAACCTTTCACCTAACAGAGCGACCGTCTCGCAGGAGTGCATCACTGCCTACAATGAGCTGAAGCTTAACAAGAAGTACAAGTTCATCATCTTCAAGCTGTCAGACAATTACAAGGAGATTGTTGTCGAGGAAGCCTCTGACAGCAAGGACTGGGAGGCTTTCCGGGAGAAGCTCATCAATGCCACCTCCAAGAGCAAATCTGTATGTCTCGCCTCGGCGTCCCTCGGGCGTTTCTCCTACACCGGCCACTACTGGATCTATTGGCTAATTCGCGATTCCTCAGGGTGCTATCGGCAAGGGTCCCCGTTACGCCATCTACGACTTCGAGTACAGCCTTGCCTCTGGCGACGGTCTCCGGTACGCCGCAACCCAAAATTTTAGATCCTGGTGGTTCGAGCACTGTGACTGACAGACTTTGCAGCAACAAGCTTACCTTCCTCGCCTGGTCCCCTGATGATGCCGGTGTTCAGGTGCGTCAATAACAGCCACCCCGCATAGTGAAGCGGCCATGATGCTGACCGCCAATTCCATAGCCCAAGATGATTTACGCTTCCTCCAAGGAGGCCCTCAAGCGATCTCTGACTGGTATCGCCACAGAGTTGCAGGCCAACGACCCCGATGACATCGAATATGACTCCATCATCAAGACCGTCAGCAAGGGTCTTGCTGGTTAAACGATTTCATTTACCCCGCCATTCCCCGGCGCTGTCCTTGAGAGCGAATACATTAATGTGCTTCCTGGAGGCTCTTCGTCTTGGAGCAATCAGTTATGACATACGATGATGAAACGTCGAAGAGAGATAGAGTAGCTGTAGGGCGACCTCCTAGGATGGTCTCGTCTAAGGGCTTCCCGTGGACCAGGTGCATACATTCTCAGATTTGGCCAGCCCCATCATGATGATATACCGTATTATGGAAATAAAAATCACAGGCAGCATGCCAAATTTTTCCTTGGTTCTGTCATTCTGCTTTATTACTTTTGATCTTTTTTTTTTCTTCTTCTTCTGTACTATGCTGGATATCTGCCCACCATACGCACTCTATGGCTCAGCTTTGCTGCTTTCCCAGCTCGACTTGAACAACGTAGACAGCTTCTCGGCCTCTGCGTCGTCCTTGAGGCGTTGTGATAGGAACCCCTTTAAATCCGCCCAGAAAAGGCTCGTCTCCAGCGCATCCGCGCCGGTGGGCGCCACCACCAGGGGCCTGCTGCTCTCCTCGGGCGGGATGGCAGCCGCGCCGCCCATCACCATGAGCGTGAACTCCACCGACGTGTCCGCGTCCCCGAGCAGCTCCTTGAGCACCTTGCTGTCCGGCACGGGCTTCTTGTTGTGGAGGATCTTGAGCTTCTCGACGGGGGCCCTCGTCTGGGCGTGGACCTGGCTCTTGAGGTCGAGGATGGACGTGTCGAGGGGCTGGGAGGTGAGCTTGATGTCGAGCGGGGGGTTGCGGGGCGACTTGAGGGAGACCTTGACGCTGCGCTCCTGGCCGGGGGCGAGGGTTGTGGGCTTGCTCATGGGCTTGGGCATCCGGGGGAGGATGTACTGGAATACATGATGTTAGAGTGACTGGCTCGACGATCTATAGCAATGGACAGGGATGTAACGTACGGGCTGGCGCCCTGGATACTTCCTCGCATCCTCGACATAGTCGGCCGGTAGCTTGATCGGTCGCGCATCGAGCGTCGTGAGGAAGGTGGAAGCAAATGATACTTCAGCCATCTTATCTAGAAATTGAAGCCCACGTTCGAGTTGCAATGTGGGGAAGGTGGATGGTTGAGCTGCCCAGGCAAGCCAGGAAACCAGGGAATGGGCTGGCGTTTGGATTCCGAGTAATTGAGCGATCGAGCGTGTTCCCCAATAAGTTAACTGCCGCCGTATGTCAAGGTTGAAACGTTTAAGCTAGGCTTGCCTAGTGTCCTGAAAAGCCATGTTGTCCTGGTCCTGCGCTCGATGGAGCTGCGAGTGATGATGTCCAGCATCGGCGGCTGGTGGGGCAGCGGCGGTACGTATCACGTGGGGCAGCTGCTCATCAATTGCATGACATTAAACATAGGCACCGAGCTCGCTGGCATTGGCATTGGACTATTAATAGTTTACATAGCAGTATACAGTATCAACTAGTTCTTCATTGCTTCTAATATTGCCATTGTGGTCAGCCAAGTAATTATAGGTCTATAAGTTCCAATTTCCCAATCAGATGCTGTCTCGGGTGTGCCATGTTTTTTGTCACCCGTCTGCCCCATCGCATCCCGATACGAAGATTCTCCGATCTTATCGGACCCTGCCCAAACCTTCTGAAGAAAAAAAAGTTTCAGTGGGGCCTCGTTGGCCTCGTACTTAGCCATCAAACAGAGGTTCCTGGTGAAGACGACGGAAAACATCAATTCTCCGGCCTACATTGTTTCCTCCTTTTCGCTTCTGCACGAACTGTCGATCAGGCAGCAGCGCGTCTACAAGATGGGTGTCGGAAGACGAATGAAGAAGCAGGGCCCTCCTCAGCCGCTGTCCGAGGAGCATTTCGCAAAGCTCAAGCGCAAGGCTGGCCTGCCCGTCGATGCGCCGACCGAAGCCCCAGAGAAGAAGAGAAGAAGGACGGCGAAGAAGCCTGAACCCAAGAGCAACGGGTCTGCGTCCAAGAAGTCCGGATCGACATCAAAAGGGTCAAAGCCCGCGAAGGGAGCCAAGGAGTTGCCTACGACCAACGGCAGGTCGTCAAAGTCAAAGGCACCCAAGAAGCCTCTGCTTGAGGAATCAGATGAGGAGGATGAGTTCGACATGGAAGACCTAGAGGCCGGCGGCTCCTCGGATGACGAGGTTCAGAAGATTGGCGACGATTTCCTGGGATCTGATTCCTCCGTCTTTGACTCCGACGACGAGGGCGGCCAAACCAAAGCCATGTGGTCCGAAGATGAAGATGAATCAGATGCCGAAGAGAAGCTCACAGCCGCCAACATTGTCGGTCTGTCGAGAAAATTGGACCAGCAGCTCGAGGAGGAAGCCGCCGCAAACGAGGAAGAAATGCTTCAAAGTGCCTTGCAGACCAACATCAGCGGCGATAAGCCCAAGGTGCTGGCAGATGAGGACGACGATCTTGAAGCCGAGAAGAACGAGTTCCTGGCTCCTGATCTGCAGTTATTACGGACAAGAATCACTGAAAACATTCGAGTCTTGGATGATTTCAGCAACCTCCGCCAGGAGGGCCGCTCGCGTGCCGAGTACACTGCGCAGTTGCTCAAGGACGTCTGCGCCTACTACGGCTACTCTGAATACCTTGCCGAGAAGCTCTACAACCTCTTCACCCCCCGTGAAGCCTTTGCCTTTTTCGAGGCCAACGAAACCGCACGTCCCGTTGTTATCCGTACAAACACTCTTCGCGCCAACCGACGAGAGCTTGCTCAGGCGCTCATCAACCGCGGTGTTACCCTCGAGCCTGTGGGCAAGTGGTCCAAGGTCGGCCTGCAAGTCTTCGAGAGCTCAGTACCCCTGGGTGCTACACCCGAGTACCTCGCGGGTCACTATATTCTCCAAGCCGCATCCTCTTTCCTGCCCTGCATGGCTCTCGACCCCCAGGAGAACGAGAGGGTTCTGGATATGGCCGCTGCCCCCGGTGGTAAAACAACCTACATGGCCGCAATGATGAAGAATACTGGAATCGTCATTGCCAACGATCCCAACAAGGCTCGTTCCAAGGGTCTCATTGGTAACATTCACCGTCTCGGTGCCACCAACGCCATTGTCTCGAACTACGACGCTCGAGAGTTCCCCAAGCCCATGGGTGGCTTCGACCGAGTCCTGCTCGATGCCCCTTGCTCCGGCACTGGCGTCATCGCCAAGGATCCCAGTGTGAAGACCAACAAGACAGAGCTTGATTTCATGCAGCTGCCGCACATCCAGAAGCAGCTGATCCTCGCCGCAATCGACTCCGTCGCCCACAACTCCAAGACCGGCGGCTACATCGTGTACTCCACCTGCTCCGTCACGATTGAGGAGAATGAGGCCGTCGTGCAGTACGCCCTCAAGCGCCGACCCAACGTCAAGCTCGTCGAGACCAACCTCGCCTTTGGAAAGGAGGGCTTCACCAGCTTCCGCGGCAAGTCCTTCGACCCCAGCATGAGCCTCACCCGCCGCTACTACCCCCACAGCTACAACGTGGACGGCTTCTTCGTCGCCAAGTTCCAGAAGATTGGCCCCACGCCGGCCAAGGCCAACGCGCCCCGCGAGAGGTCCTCGGGAGGCGACTCCTCCGAGGTCATTGACAGGACCCCCATCGCTCTTGACGATGACGAGGATGATAAGGCCAAGAACGACGACTTTGGCGGGTGGGATGAGGACGAGGACGAGCAGTACATTGAGAAGGGAAGGAGGAATGCCATGAGGAGACGCGGTCTGGATCCCCACAGCGCTGGTAAAAAGTCGAAAAAGTCGAGCAAGTAATTAGACAGCATGCAGATAGAGGTACTCAAAAATGTTAATTTACGCGAATCATTTCACACAAACATCACACTTCACTCATTCTCAATGCGACTGCTCTGCAAAAGATATTCTTTTCAATGTTTACACCGTGAGGTGACGAGTATTAAAAGAACTATAGAAAAGGTGTGAAGCCGTGAACAAAAGAGAATAGTGTGAATTGTAGGTGACAATTCGTCATGAGCACATCGTTCGTATCGTCATTACCCCCCCCGCATCGTGCAAAATAAGGCTAAAAGAAGAAGAAAACACACATAAGCCTGCTCCCTCCCCTTTGGTTTCTCGTCCGAGAGTGTCTAGCCGCCCAATGTCATCATCATTTCATAAAATACAAGATGGATATAAGAAAGATATAGGTGTCGAGCAGAGGTCCTCCTCAAGCTCCTCTTCAAATGAGTGTCGGTGATTTTGGTATTCTGACTGGTTCGAACCAGCCAGGTAAGAAGCAAAACGCTGTCGTTAAATGTCTTGTCTATTCGGTGTAGGATTCTTGTCCGGTTGAATGTTCCGTAGTCATTCCGATTCGTGTCGGTGTCTTGTTGTTCATCAATCATAAGAGTATCAATATTACAAAAGGTCGTAGAATAGTCGTTAATAGGAAGAGATCCAGGAAGCGGTTCAAAAAGTTGCCGTAGGGCCTCACATGGGCAGTTCGTCGAACTGAGAGACGAGCTCACGAATAGTCCATCGCCAGCTCTCGCGGTCTCGAGTTCCACGACCAGCCCACTTGCCACACTTCTTGCGCCATCTATCCTCCTCCTCACGTTGTCGTCTGATAAACTCAGGACCAACGTCAAACTCTTCGCCAACTAGCCAGTCATCGTTGACATCGCTGACACGGCCTTGGCCCTCTTCGTCCCCAGTCATTTCTTCAAGGTCAGGAATATCCTTGAATACGTCTTCTTCATCATCAAGCGCGTTGAAGTTCTCCAGCGGGTCGGATTTGTCCGACTTTGGACCCTCTTGCTGTGCTCCCAGCTTGAGCCAGCACATACTTGAGGGATCAAACACCATTCCGTTGACCACCTGCACGCCTTTGGTCGTGCTGATGTTGGTAATGAGTGCCGGGCGGGGTGTCGTGGTCTCCCTCTCGCGCAAGGGGGCCAATGGAGCTGCAATCGGTGTGACAATCCCAGCGTCAAACGCGCTCAGGGCATTCTCATTGCCCTCCCAGCGATATGTGTCCGCATTATAAAACATCCCATTCACCGCTACATACGTTGTTAGCATCGACTTCTTGCTGGAGCTGAGAGCAACCTCCAAAAACTCACTCTTCGATTCCTTGCCGGCATTCAAGTTTGAGATGAGATGCGGCTTTTGCTGGACCGGACGTTTCGACTTCTTGGATCGAACTGTAGAAGATTGGATGTTTGGCGTAGTCCGTATGGAAAGCGCCGGTGCCTGTGCTGGTGATGATTGCACAGCACGCTGAGCATTAACAGGTGCCAACGGCCCAGATATCGAGTTGCGGTTGGCTAGCGATGTCTCACGCGCAATACGACTTGCGGTAGTATCCCGAGCAAAGCGAGGTGTCGACAAAGACTTGGTACTCATGTGTGGACTAGGAGTGTTCATCCTGTCGGTTATACTAGGACCGGCCCGACGAAGTAAAGGCTTGTTGCTGCCATTCGTTCCAACTGGCTGACGCAAATATCTAGTCTCCGTCTCTTTGGAAGTTGGCAGGTCATCAAACGCATCCAGCTCATGGCCGTCTCCAAACTGCTTCTTCGTTTTGGGCTTGCTCAGGCGTTCCCAGGTGTCGGCAGCAACCCTAAGCCTCTGTTGAGGACTTGGGCTTCGCATAGTTGACCGTGAAAAGGCCCGAGAGTGAGGTCGAAGGTCGAGCGCATTGTCCGAATCGTGGCGACGGAGTTGGCGTACAGATTTGGCGTTGACATGCTGTGATTGGGACGATGAGGCTCCAGCAGGCAAAAATGGCTGCGACTTCTTTCTTGTTGGTTGAGCGGAGCCATCCATTGATGTTCGCGCCGTTGACTCAACAGGAGTTTTGGGTCGCACCCCAGTTTGAGGCCGATGGTCCAGCCTTGATGTTGAAGAGTCAAAACGATTAAACTTGGAAGCCAGGGCTCTGATGGCTGGGAGGGATCGCTTCTGCTTCAAAAGCTGGGCACTTGTCGTGGTAGGTTCCACCCGCATAGAGGGGGTTGACACTTTGCTCGTCAGCTCCCGTCTACTAGGTGTAGATGGGGGGAATCGTTGGTTAGGTGAGGGTGTCGTGGGAGTAGGGATGCTCGTCACAGATGATTGGGAGCTGTGGCCCAGACGAGATTGTGGTCGGCGAGTGCGTGGCGGGATGGGACCGCCGCTCTCGGATACGGGTTCTAGGGAGGTTGAGTGAGCCCGCTCATGGCTGAGGCGAGGAATTCGTGTGTTGACTGGTTTGTTTGTGAAGGTTAAGGATACTGCCGTTTTAGGGCGGGCAGGGCTAATAGGGCGAGTCTCCTTCACTTTGATATTTTTGTGGAGTGTGAGTTTTCCAGCATTGAAAGGGTCTCCATCGCCAAAGTCGAGTCCGTCTAAAAAGTCGGGTTTATCGGCCTCTGCTGTAGAGGTCCTCTTTGGGGGTGAGGGTCCCTCTTCGGGAATACGTTGGGGGGAACGGCTTTTCTTGCGTTGTTGAAGTCTCTCTTGGAAGTTGACTGGGCCGGCAGGGAGGACAAGTCCATCAAATGTCTCGTCCTCGCTTTCCATAGTAATTGAACTCGACACACTTGGACTGAGTGCAGATGCGGAGGAGCTCCTGTTAGATCGCCCATCGCGCCGTGTGCCTCCGAATCTTGTACCAAGGCTGCCTTCGCCCCAGTCAAGATCATCGGAATACGCCGATGGAGTCTTCGGTATATGTCTTCTAGTTGATAGCTGAAGCTTACCATGCGAAGGCAGCTCGAGATCCTTCTCAAAATCATCCTCAAGGAGACCCTCACTCTTTGAAGGTGTTGGAGGAGTGATGAGGGATACTGCTTTAGGTGCAGGTCTTTGCTTGGAAATCTTGATGGTTTCACATCCGTCTCCAAAGAAGTCATCATCTTCGTTATCCTTGAACTTGTCCAGGAGGTTTATCATGGCGGGCCTAGGTACAAGAGCTTGGCCAAGAGCCCGTGGGCTTATTTGACCCATCTTGACGGGACTTGAATGTACAGAGCCAGTGCTGACCTGGCGCAGTGTCTCAGGAAAGTCGCTGTGCCTCTGGAACTTGATCTTGAGCCCTTGGGTTGTGTCGGGGAGCTCTAGATCGTTTTCCCAGTCTTCTTGGATGATTTTACGGATCTTCTTGCCTCCAAGTCTCTTAATAGTGCCACCCATCAAGGCCGAAGAAGGAATATTCTTTGGTAGAGGGATACCAGCACTTTGGGCGGCAAAGATTGCATCCGAAGTTGACTTCTCATCATCTCCAGGGATGTGTACCTGCCTCTCATCCTCACCGGTCCATGACTCGAGATCTGATCGCAAAGACAAATGCGATGAGCCGGAGTCGCGGCGGCGGGAAGGCGGTCTGCTTGCGCCTGAGTTATTTCGGAGAGCGAAATCGTCCCCATCCATCATGAAGTCGCCGTCATCCCAGTTCTCAACAGGGTCCTCGGCTGGCTGCCGGACCTTTAATCGTAGCGTCTCCATAGTGTTGTAATGTGAATATACTGAATCTGTAGCGCAAATAGGGTCTAGTGAAGCGCAAAGCTTTTCTCAGACACGAGGAGTTGGCAGAGTGTCAATTAGATGAGACGATTATCATCGCGCGATGATTCGCCAAACACTCTCGCATTTCCCCGGGTCGAAACGGCGCGCAAGGAAGTCGGCTGAATGGTCTCTAGGGCAGAGATCGCATCCAAAATCAGGGTCGGTCGTCGTAGGAGTTTGTGTTTCGCGGGGCGGAGGATCAGGAAAACCTGGCCCGTAAGATACCCAGTTGGAAATGTCGGGCTCAGCCAGCAAACGCGATCGAGATCGAGAGCGTCAGCGGGTGAGAGTAAAACCAAAATGCTTAGAAAAAGATCACCTTCTGATAGGCGAAAGAATATGAATCGTCGATTGGATGATGAAGGAGGTGCAAAATTTTGCAAAAGAATTCAAGGTGTGCGAATGGAGGTGTTCGCAGGTGGTTCGGATGAGGGAGGTCGGTGGACGGTGGACGGTGGTTGGTGGGTAGGTGGGAAGGAAGAACCTGTAAGAATGGCTGGTGCCCAAGCCCAGGGTGGCTGGTAAAGTGGGTCCGAAACCTTTAGGATCACCCCAAACGCTCAACTTCTGCGGGCCGAATCCCACATTCCACGTGACCTGGACTTGTTGGCCCCGCCTGTTCCAGGGCCATCTGACGATTGGCCAGATCGCCTGACCAGCATTCACGAACTGACTCTGCACGCGTCGAGGTCGCGTCAGTTTGCCACACCATCAATCAACAATGAGTCCATGGAGGATTCATTTCCGGCGCATTGTGTCAATTTCTTCATCGTCGCAGGTCCATCATGCAGATAGTTTGGTATGGAACTGACTCGTGCCTCAGTATTACAAAGGAGCCACCCTCGTGCTGTCCTACTTGTTTAAGGGCAATTTTCTAGAATTTATGCAAGCTATTATAGAGCTGACAGGTACAGATGCGTACCTGCTGGCCAATCAAATGAGTCAAGTACAGTTGTCAGGTCCAGCCCTCAGGCACCGCAAATCTTCGGTGTGTGAGATAGTGGTTGGAATCAAATGGCATGGTTCCTACCGAGGTATGTAAGGGCTCGATAAATCGGTTCTTCCGACAATAATTATCACTGGCATCAAATACATTGTTGAAATAGGAATGGGCAAAAATACTAGATAGTTTCAAGTATTTACCGAAGATTGGAGAGCATTGCCGAGCCAAAGCTAGGGCGTCGTTAATCGCTACACCGATCTTGGAGCTATCCCATGGAGGGGACGTGTACCTGGGTTAGGTACCTCATGCACCCTGCCCGCTGACATCGGTGGCTGCCTCCGCAGCTGCAGCGTGCGCTCGCTGAGATCCAGAGTCAAAACCACTTCCCAGGCTAGGGCTGCAGCCTGGCGCAAATCCCCTCCAGTGGGCATGACTGCCTGGAGTGAGAATCAACATAAAAATAGCATCGCCCAGTTGGCAGGTTTGCGAAGTGGAATTAATTACCTGAAGGTCTTTTCCCTCCTCCTGCTTATTTTGCTTTGTTTGTTTTGTTTCGGTAGCACAACAAGTAAATATTGTCGCTCCCGGAACCCTGCAACCAAGAGAGCACTGACAACAATCACTCCAGCTCACTCAGCTCAGCTGCCAGTGGCGCCAACTCACCACCCTCTATCCGGCAGCCTCGTTGTGCGCCTCAGCTCGGCCACTCTCTCAGTCTCATATCATACATAGTCTTACGAATTACAAATCCACTCCCGATCTAGCCTCGGTCCATCTGATAATCTCTCATCATTCCTCGCTTCGCCTTGAGGATTCTCAGCGGGCCGTGAATGCGGAGCAAGATCAAGACATGGCACCAGCATCCCGGGTACTCAAATTCGACCGCACGGACGACGAATCCCGGTATGTTCTTCTCAACGTGACCTCGCGGGGTTCAAAACCCTTGGATCTCAGAATCGAGGCTACCGAGGGTGATGAGGAGTACGCTCAGAATTGTGAGTATTTATGGGACCAACGGAGGGTCGTGCGCCGTTGTTTTGATGATCGTTCATGCTCTTACCATGTGGACTCATTATAGTAAGGCACGATAAGGTCGTGTCACACATGGTCAAGAATTGCCCTGTGACAGAATCAGAGTGGCAGGCTATCCTAGAACGACTGTTCACCCAGGAGCCCCAGCCTGATATCCAGGTCACTGCCACGGTTGAGACAGGGACTTCCATCACAGTCACCATCCGCAAATCTGTGCAGGGAATCACGGTAAGCTCCACCGATTTTCAAATGATTTCCACCTAGTAATATGATGTTCGTCAAAGCAACGGCTCGGTGCCATCACGATCGGCGTAGCCCCAGGGTCAGAGTTCAATGTCCTTGACTGGTGTGCCACTGCTGTGGATGCAGCCGCTGAAAGCAAGGCTCTGACGGCCAGTACCGCAACCAAGATCCAAGATTTTGAGTCCACCATTGCAGACCTAAAACACCAGCTTGACGAGCTGATCAAAGCCAAGGATGAGGATGAGACGGCGCTACTCTTCAAGTTCAGGGATCTCTTAAATGAGAAGAAGGTCAAGATCCGGGAACAGCAAAAAGTCATTGAGAGTGCACCTATTACAAGAGTTGATGACCCTCCCGAAGAGGCAGAACCGGTAGAAGCAGAACCCCCCAAGAAAGGGCGTAAAGCTGCTACTTCGCGAGCGTCGAAGAGAAAGGCACCACCAACAAAAGTCGAAGAGGAGTCCGACCAGGAGGAGTTTGAGCCAATGGATGTGGACAGGGTCAAGTCTGAGCCAGAAGAGACGGAGCGTGAAGATGACTCCGAGGCCACGGCTTCAACAACAAGTGATGCTGAGGGGGACGATGTGCCTATCAAGGAGACCACGAGCAAAGGTAAAAGTAGTGCCCCAGCAACAAAGCCTCCAACTACAGCTTCGCAGCCTCCGGCTCCTCGAACCTTACCTTTTGGAAAACAGAGAGCAACGGCCCCGGCAAAAGCCCCTGCTCCTACAGAAAGTGAGACAGATTCGGACGATGAATTATAACCATCCTGAAACCCAGTTCATGCATCACGTCAAATAATGTTTATACCAAAAAAAGAATTCCGTTCGTTGTTCCACTGTTCCCTTGCAATTATTGCTACCCATCTGGGATGGGGTGAAGTATTTGTTTCCATTCCAATAGGCGATGAAAGGTGACTATTTGGTTCTTCATCGGAAATCATCGCTGGCAAACTTATCATGCCAGAACGCGCGGAAATTCTTCTGTTTACCCAACTTAGAGATCTCCTCAACTTCCTCCGTGGTCAGCTTGAACTTGAATACATTGGACCAGTACCCCTCCAGCCTTGCCCTGTTGGAGCTCGTAGTGAGTGCGACTATTCCCTGGTCTAGGACCCAGCGAAGGCCAATATCAGACTCAGACACTCCATACTTAGCAGCAAGCTTCGTCCACAAGTCATCCACAGGTCCGCCCTTGGCTCGAGTCAGGGGAGTCAGAGGCCCGTAACTCGCAACAGCAATGTCGTTCTTGCGATGGAAGTCGATAAGATTTCCGTGCTGCAGGTAGGGATGATACTCGATTTGGTTGATTGCAGGAACAATCTTGGCGGTCTTGAGGAGTTTCTCCAGGTCCTCCTGAAGGAAGTTGGATACACCAATCGACTTGGCTCGGCCAGACTCCTTGAGCTTCTCCACGTCCGCCCATCTCGCCTGGAGCTCCTCTTCAGTTTTGGCGTACCATGGGCCATGGAGAAGGTAGAGGTCAACGTATTCCACGCCGAGTTTCGTCAACGAAGTATTGAATGCATCTTGGACGGTCTGCGGCTTGGTAGCATGCATCTTGGTCGTGACGAAGAGCTGCTCTCTGGGGACTCCGGACTGTTTGATAGCCCTGCCCAGCTCTTCTTCATTTCCATAGGCTAGCAGAAGTTAGCCAGTGTTTGCTTATTTTTAGCCATATGACTTTTCCCTTGAATTGTTAATGTACGTAGGTATGGGCGTATTGCATACCTTCTGCGCCATCTAGATGTCGAAAGCCTACATCAATAGCGATTTTGGCTACCTCCAAGACCTTGTCATCAAAATCCGTGGTGCCTCTTTTAAAGTGAGCGGTGCCCACACCAAACCCGAGCTATATTCAATCATGTGTTAATCGAAACTATAATAATCGAGAGCAGGAACCAGATTTAATTCCCCATTCGTTTATCACGCAGTATATCAGCCAGATTGGAGTCACGTACCACCGGAACTACATTGCCGTCGTTGAGCCTTAGGGTAGGGATGGAAGCCCCTGCGGTTGCCGATTGAGAAGCCATTGAGGAGATGAGGAGGTTCTGATATGTCTTCTATGGCTTGGGCAATTGAAAATTAGGATACGAAACGAAAGATGCTAGGAAAATGAATATGAGGTGCGACAGGAATTATTAATACATGTCACAACTGTTCCTCTTGAATCCCCACTCTCGTCTTGATATGCTTTACTCTACTCCGTCCACAGGCACAAAGTGTGGAGGTTCCGAAGGCGTCATCGACCTATCGGTTCCGTGAGTCACCTTTGGTATGGCGAATCGACTAGATGCCTGGCTAATTGCTGCTTCTGGCCCTCGTCGACAGTCGCACTGAGCTGTGCTGCTTGCCGCTCGGGGGATATCTGGATTTATGTATGGCCTGGAGGCTGACACTTCACATGCTGCTGGGCACCGGAACCCTCCAGAGGCATTCCGCACTCTCCCCGATCGGCTGTTTCCCCTCATTCGGATATATCCGCTTGCCCAGCGCCCTGGATCTTGGTTGGGCCTGCACGGTCTCGGCGTTATCGGACGCCCACCGGGGTTCGGGGAGAGGAGGCGATTGAGCTGTGTCACCCATCCATCACTCCCATATTCCATTGTCTCATATGCCTTGATGTTGATCCCACGACGAGTTGCCAGCCCTCGTTATTACTAATTGAAGTGTAAATTACCTGCCCGCTCCTGGAGTGCCTTACCTAAGTAGGGCTATAC